AGCCTTGTAGTTACTCCACAGGTGAGCCGTGTAGTTACTCCACAGGTGAGCCGTGTAGTTACTTCACAGGTGAGCCGTGTAGTTACTTCACAGGTGAGCCTTGTAGTTACTCCACAGGTGAGCCGTGTAGTTACTCCACAGGTGAGCCGTGTAGTTACTCCACAGGTGAGCCGTGTAGTTACTCCACAGGTGAGCCGTGTAGTTACTCCACAGGTGAGCCGTGTAGTTACTCCACAGGTGAGCCGTGTATGGTGTACAGAAAGCTTTAAAAAGTGATACCTTGCCATCTACAGAGCACTTGTGAAATGTCCGCATTAATATGTTAGCCTGGGAATACAGTTTGCAGCGTTGTCTATGGATGTCTTTGTCATCTGTGAGATCATCAGAGATATAATGACCAAGGTACTTCATCATGATGCTACTCTTCTTGGCGTTAAACTTAATATTAAAATCAATGCCATTCTGGGAACAAGTCCTCAGAAGCTGTTGTAAGCCAGCACTGCACGGGGAGAAGATGATTAAATCATCTGCGTACATAAGGTGGTTAGACAGATAATAAACACCTTTTTAAAATCACAACACATCAACAGCATTAGTTATAAAGAAAGGACGGAAGACAAGTAGATGGAGGCGAAAGGATAAAAGAGAACAACTCCATACATGTCACATATAGCACATCACAATCACATGACACAAAGCTTTATTTGTATAGTTCTTTTCATACACCAGGTGCACTTCAGTATAAAAGCACCAATGTTGCTAATAAAAAGCTAATCTAGAAAGATGTGTCTTTAGCTGTTGTTTATAAATGTATCACTTAACAACATGTACCTTCTCCAGAGCGTGGTGCAGCTCCATGGCTCGGAGCAGGAGGCTCTTCTTGCTCCTCAGGGTGGAGCTGATCTCCTCACACACTCCTCTCAGCTCGCTGCACTTCGGCCTGATGGAGTCCTCGGCATAGTGGGAGTTTTCTATCAGCCGGTCACCTTCACCGGCCAGGGACAATGCGTGGTCGAGTGCGTCCTTTAGAAAACACATGATCAGAATATACTTTAGGATACAGGGACAACATCAGTGGACGATCAATCTATCACAGCCTTCACATGTCCTCTAAGCAGAGCGGTGTGTTCATTACTTAATGCTGCATGGAGGGGGACTTTTACTGTAGTCGTAATTGCAAATTTAGTTCGTTAACACCGATATCAGTTTGTTTTTTTCCACATAAAAAAATGCAAAGCAGAATCTTTACATTTTAAAGGTTTTATTTTTATAAATATGTGATATTATGAAACATCATAAGGTGCTAAAAATGAATGGTTACATCATAGCTGAGGTTGAAACGAAAAGGCTTTTATATTTTAGTCCAATCCACACGCCCACACAGATACCACCTCTACATTTCACAGTCTTTCACACAGCTATTCCCAGAGAGGGGGATAAAGCAGGGCATATCATTGATTATATAATCAGCCGTATAGCTTCAAGGATGCATCAAAGGTAAAAGTGTTGAGCTTGTGTTTTCTGTCCCACGTGAGCTGCATTATGACATAGAATTGTGTGTGTGATTGTGTGTGTGTGTCTTACACAGGCTTTGTCCTCATGTCCGCTGAGCTCTCGGAGGACGTGCTCAGCGTGGGCGGGGCTTACACTGACTTCAGAGAAACCAGACAACCGCTCCGATGTCACGTCGAGCTGAGTGCGCACCTACAGACACGCACATGTTATAAGAGCACACATTTCCTGACTTGTTTCTGCAAAACTACACTTCCACATAATTCCACTCACTTCACGGAAGTGCTTCTCGAAGTGGCGCAGCTGTAAGCACTGCTCCAGCTTGGTGCGGTGACGCTCCCAGAAGTCATCGAAGGCTCTTTCTGTTTCATCCAGCTGACCCAGGAGTCTGAGGGGAAAGAGGGGGGATTTAATGATGCGTTCAGGGACCACTTCTTTATCTATGTGTTTCCATTCATCTCTTCCTCTACCTCTGTACAGTGGCTAAGTTTTCCAGTTCATCATAGGTCATGTTGTATTCATCGTCCGTCTGCAGAGGCTCGTTTATACACTCCAGCAGCCGCCCCCCTTGAGACAGCGCCACCTGTAGGTCCTCCTAGAAATCAAACAAATTATATCTTTTAACACTTCTGCAACAAACGAAATCACTGCAAATATATATTATATATATATGAAAATTAACAAAATCAGAGAAAGAAGGAAAACAAAGAGGGACATCTGGTTGGTTGACATGTAAATCTGACCTTCATTTCGTCCTTCTTCTGAGAGTGTGTGTGCAGCAGGGCGGTGGTGGCCTCGGTATCGTTGGGTAATTCTGTCTCTGCGAGTTCAGTGCCAAACGCCTGCAGAGTCTGCGCCGTGGTCTTCACCATCAGAGCGAAGGCCTCGATTGCCTGTGGAGGAGACGTTCAGGTGCCGATAAATACAGGTTTAAGTCTCTGATTGACAGTTTGAATCCCAGCCTGACCTTCTATACATTTATATATTGTTTAAAAAAGATATGTGTGTGTGTGTGTATGTGTATGTGTGTGTGTGTGTGTGTGTGTGTGTGTGTGTGTGTGTACGTACAGTGCGGTGTGAGATCCAGCTTTCATGGGAGTACTCCTGCGTTCCTCCCAGCTCTGTGGTCAGTTGACCCGGGTCGATATAGGCATGGAGCTCAGTCACTGAACTCAGCATCACCACCTTAAATAAAACACACAATCCACGGATCATGAGGCACGGTATGTCCTCATAAATCAAAAAAAGAAAAGAAGCAAAGACAGACGTGTCATACCTTCATTTTGAACTCATCCCTGTTGTACTTGAACAGGAAGTCTGACAGAGTCCTCTGGAACAAAGTAGTCGGACGCAACACCAGAACCAAGTGTAAGATCCCTGGAAATGAACCCTGAGAGAGAAAAATGAGAGGGAGAATAGTTTTAGTAATCTATTCATATGTATTTCTTTTAATTGTATAGAAAAGTATGTGGTAAAACAAGATCAAGTGGAGTGACATGCATCCATTTATATTTTGGAATCAGGTCTTCACTGCTAGTAGCCACAGAGCCATATCTGATTTGATTGATAGTGGGTTATTTATTTTTCTGCAGCAGAGGTATGAAGTAAGCCCACTTGTGTAGCAGCTCCCTCTGCTGCAATCCTGAACATCCACTCAATCGGCTACAAATCTTCACAGTTGTTCCCTTGTTGCACTTTCCATCTTTCAATCTGTCACGACAAGGTAAATTACTCCTGTGGTTTAGGGAGTAACCGCCGCCTCCGTCTCTCCGCCTCCACACATTAACAGGTTAAGAGCGGGGAATTGCCTTCACACAGACAACAGCCCAAGAGGCCACTCAACTGAAAGGCTGTACGGTTATTAGTCTTCCTCTAAAACCCTGGGTGAATTGCTCCACCCTGTTAGGCATCATAAATCGATGTAGGGTGACACACACACACACACACACACACACACACACACACACACACACACACACACACACACACACACACACACCGAGAGATGTTTGGCAAGCTTATGAAATCCACTGTGATGCCATAAATAAAATGAAATAAAGGAAATTATGAATAAAATATTTTTACTAAAATTGCCATTTCTAGTTTTTGCTGGATTTTTTGTTAATTGCATTTGATCAATTGTATATCAATCAAGTGAAAAGCAAATATAATATAGCCTGACTAAAGTGCTTTTTATTTTTGATCAGATATCTTATCCAATGGAAAGAGACCCAGATAGAATCAGTGAATAAGATACCGTACAAGGCTTTAATTCAATTTACAAACACACCTGCAGTCACACAGAGGCCAACATACATCATAGCCGTGAAATGCCTGCACAGCGTTGCCATGGAAACGCACAGAGCGAGATGGAGAGTGCATGATGGGATGTGAGCGAGAGTGATGATACAGAGGAAAGCGAAAAATAGGAACAAGATAGGAACTGATGTCTATTTCTGTGAAGGAGGAGTCATATGAAAGTGGTGCTGCAGCTCCACTCGTTTATTTTTGACACACACACACACACACACACACACACACACACACACACACACACACACACACACACACACACACACACACACACACACACACACACACACACACACACACTCTCTNGGCCTGGTACGGCAGCTGCACCGCCCTCAATCGTAAGGCTTTACAGAGGGTGGTGAAAACTGCACAGAACATCACCAGGACGGAGCTGCCATCCATGGAGGACCTATACTCCCAGCGGCTCAGGAAGAAATCCCTCCGGATTATAAAAGACCCCCATCCCCCCAGCCACAAACTGTTCTGTCTGCTGCCGTCTGGCAGGCGTTACCGCAGCATCCGGACTAAAACCTCCAGATTCAGAGACAGTTTCGTCCCACAGGCAATAAGACTGTTAAACACCTGAACTGTTGAAACAACATCCATAACATTCATCTGGCTGCTACTTAAAAAATATTTATCTATTTACCTAATACATCATATTTCAATGACTTGCATATAGACTATTTTTCCTCTTGTATTTACTGTTGGTTGGTTATTGGCTAATGGCTACACAAGCCAAAAAATCATTATGACATCATAAAGTGGCCAAAATCTGATCAGCTCATTTTCAGACAGGTTTCTATATAACAGGATCAAGAAAAAAAGTGAGCAAATCTTTTTTCCTGAAACTGTCAGAATCTCTTTACACAGAGGGGACACATGATGTATACAGTAAAAGACATGAAAAAGTGGATTTTGCATAACAGGTGACCTTTAAGGCATCACTCCAAACTCTCAAACTATTGTATATACATAGAATGACTTGCAGAAAATAAAAAAGGGGCATTGTAACACAACGCTGCCATCCTGTAGCTGGCTGCTATTTGTGGCGTAAGCAATGGCTGGCAGAGCGGGGTATGTAATGTTTCATGTCCAGATGAGCTATTGACTGTAAGCAGATATGACTGGCTGTAATCTTTGAGACACACTGCAATTTCAGCAGGACCAATGAGTCTATCGTTGGAAAACAAGAGCACATTTTATCAGGCAAGAAGCAGGGTATTTGGCAAAAAAAAATCTGGGTATTCCGTAGGATATAAGGCAGGATTAAAACGCGCTGGGATCATCTTGAATGTTATACAGCATTCAGTGTATTAAGCTTTTTAATGTAGACTTCCAAGCTGCATAAGGTCATATTATGTTGGTCATTATCATGCAGATCCAGATGCATGACAACACTTGGAATCAGGGATAAGATTTGTGGCCAAACCTGAAATGAAAGGTTTATCGTACTTTGAAAACATCTGACGCACATCCCCCTACCGGTAAATGTATTCTTGTGCTTATTCCCTGACATCTAAATGGGCCATCTGGGATTTGCACTTTGTTCAATTTCAGTGTTACTTTAAGCCATAAATCTTATGCAACATTTTTATTTGTATGTAGGGTTAGGGTTCCCTGTCCCATGAACTGTATAACTCAAGTTATGCAAGCTTATAGGGGAAACAGTTGGCATACAAACTAATCCTAAACACAAACTGAGAGAAAACGCACCCAAAACATCCAGGGATGTCTGATACACATTACCTTTGTATCATTAAATCATGATCTCAGCCAAACATGCAAAAATATCTGATCTAATGCCCTCATGGTGATGGACACAAGTGAATGGAAGAGTGTGTGTGTGTTCAGTGTGGGTGTGTAATGCCACATTGTGGAGAGGGTCTCAGTCTAACTTGATTATGCTCTTTGACGCCTCTAGGAAGAGTTACTATTATTTTTTCACCCTAAAGATTAAGTATAAGCTGTTTCTAAATTGTTCAATATTCATATATTCATTCCAAAAATCAAGCACAGATGTTGTTGAAAGTAAATGTAAATAATGCAAAACTACACTTTACACAGAGGAATACCTCCTGTGACTGTTATATTATTTTATTATGTTATTCTAATTGTTGATTGGTTGTTTGTGAAGAGTGTGGGGAGTTTTTCAAGATGGAGCTATTTTTCTAATGTATTTACCTTAGGCAGTTTTTGTGTTATCTTTCATACACACCCTTCACCTGAAAAGTATAGTAAAAAATGCTACTTGGTGTGTTTCTGGAAAAAGTTAAAGATGTTTTCTGAAATAGGTATAGGTTGCTATAGGTTATTATATATGTTATTATATAAATAAACTATTGTTGAAAACTAATCGATTGTCAAACATTCAATCCAATCAAAGAATACAAGAAAAGAGAATAGATTCAGAAGAATAATGTTTAGTTGGTTGTTGCAAATGTTCAGGCTCCATCTGTCCAAGGGATACTTATCTAATGAGTACATTCAATAAATGATTGCACTTTACTTCAATTGTTTTGAATACATGAAGTTTACTTGTAACATATGTACATATGTAAATGTTACAATGTGGTATTAGTGCTTTTTACTAATGTATTCTGTCTGGTTCCCAATGTGCTTTTGGCTGGTTTATCCAAGCAAAAAGGAACCCTATAATTCAATCATGTTATGATCTGTTAATTTAACAAAGTTGTTAGTTTGTTTTAGGAGACGTTCGAGCTTGTAATCCCTAAATGTACATGTCATAATGCATTAATCTAATATTACTTTATTAACTAAACCGCACCATGCAGTTCTATTTGGAGAATATTATCTTCTCGCAATGCAAACTGCTGCTAAGTTTGCCTATATGAAAGCAAGTCCCTCTCTCTTTCAACTAGACAGTGCTATGCATTCAGTTCACCCACACTTTAAATTTTGGACCATATCTCCAACACCTATAAAAGGTGTGATTTCCGCAAGATGTCCAACTAGTTTCCTCATGTGAGCAGGGGCTATGATCACACCGGCACCACAATCTGTTTCACCGTGATGTCTTCTATTATCACTCCTCAGTAGGAAGCCAACCTGCCGCCAGCCGAGCTACAGGAGGCATGCATGCTGTGTGTCAATTGATTTAAAAACACGTCTTTATTAACTTAATATAACGCGTTCTGCTCCTATAATATCCACTTCCTCTGACCATGTGTGCTACTGGTGGCAGAGGAGGGGAAAGGTGACCGGGGGGGCTATCATGAGCCACATTATGTAAATAAGGTGCAGGGGCATGTGCCAGTTAAACCGCAGTGCCGTGCGAAGTGAGACAGAAGCTTTGGACGGTAGAAGCCGGGGCCGTCGGTAGATGGCGGTAACCCAAGAAACCTGATCCACAGAGTTCTCGGGCACTCTGTCTCAGTTTGCAGCACTCGCTCTGAAGGCAGAGGAGCTGAACAGTTTGAAGGACATAATAGAAAAACGCAAAAACCCAGGAGAGCTCACGGCGGGTCCTCTCGAGCTTTGCGCGCAGCACTCCCGAGCAGGAGACGGAACGCTTTGCCAAAAAGAACAACGGGAAAACTAAAAACACCATGGAAGACAAATCGAATTCGTTCTCCAGCAACAAGGAGGAGAAGGCGGATGGGAATAATGTTTTTCAGAGGCAAGACTCGATACAGAAAAATAACACGGGGAGCCAGAACATGAAGGACCACGGCAACTCTGTGGGCTTCAAGGGGGAGCGGGAAGAGGCCATGGCCGGTTTTGACGATCTGGACGAGGAGGACAGGCAACATGGTTTTATGCAGAGGCAATTTGGGGCCATGATGCAGCCCGGAGTGAATAAGTTCTCCTTGCGTATGTTCGGCAGTCAGAAAGCCGTGGAGAAGGAGCAAGAGAGGGTGCAAACGGCCGGATACTGGATCATTCATCCATATAGCGATTTTAGGTAAGGGCTGGAAAAAACACCTGCTCACCCTCCCTCTTTTTTTCATCCACCCCTCCCGTCACCCGGGGGTCTGCAAGCTATACACTTTCACACATGACGCTCTGTCATCGGCACAGCCTGCCCCGAAGCGCAAACGCTAATCTGTATTTAGGCAGTCAGACTCAGGGCTTCACCGACAAAATGTGCTCAGCGAGTGTCTGTGTTTCATTGCGGCATTTTTATTATAACAGAGAGGGACGCATTGAGGCTACAAAGGTGTATCAGTGAGATGTCCTTGGAAAAAGGATGGTGAATGTCAACACACACAGGCGCACCTTCTCCTGATTGTTCCCCCGTATCACCACAGAGTCGGCTCTTCAGTGCGATATGTTCCCGTAGAGGTGACAGTACCTGGACACAATGTGACAGTGCCATTGCACCATCACGGTTGTAAACATTTCATTGTAGGCGGAGGTACGAGGCGACGGGCCTGTGTGCAAAAAAAATGCACAGAATGCGGTAAAATCGTGCAGGGAAACGATTAGGGAGAAAATGGCCGTTTTTGGAATTAATCAGTCTAAATTAATCTGGCTAACACTAGACAACACTTATGGATGAGTGATGTGTTTTTAGGGGGGAGTAAATGTAATGGAATGTGTTTGTTCTTAGAGGGGCTCATCATGGCACACTTACTTCCTTCATTCATGCCACAGTGACATGGTATTTTATGGCTTGTCATTTTCAACATATAGTCCCATTGTTGTGAAGAGTGATTCTGTAAGTGGAAACTACATTTAGCCTGACTCTATTATCACACATTCATGATGAGTATAGTGTTGCAAATGAGTCTTGCCATTGTGAGTTTAGACCAACTGCTTCTAATGCGTGCTCTAATTTGTTTAACATATCTGGCAGAGCACAGTCAAATGGTAAACAAATGAGATCATGTACAGCCAGGACGGGTTCTCTACACGCTGCATGTTTACAGTTCACCACTCAACCAATTAAGCATCTCATCTGCGCCGGTGTCCCCTGGCACGGCTTGATGGTGACAATCATCCGCCTTTTCCATTGAAGCTAGTGACACGCAAGGGCACGTTGATCCCGCTGCTTTTAACACAGAGCTGTCCATGGTCCTGAACTCTGAGCAGGCCTGAGTATGCAGCACAATGTTTCTCTAAGCTTTAATGCATGCTCCTGATTCAGAGTCTGCAGGCTGAATTCTAATATAAAGATCTAAACTCTGCAAAACGTCACTTTTATGAGCGCTAAGCTTTGCCTCGCTTTTATTGGTACACTGATCTTAATGCAACAACATCACAATAGATCTAACTGCCATTTCACTCAAAAATAATGCTAAGTCGGATGTGCTGTACTAGCCCACACAAAGGCACACAGGCATATGCACATGCCCATGTGCTCGCACAGATGTACGATGATGGTGGGCAAGGATTAGTAGCACAACAGTCAATGAGCTTAGCGGTCTCTGAAAACAATTATGTAAGGACATTGACCTCTCTCTACAAGATGGCTAAAAGGTTACAATTCAGTCATATGGCCCTTTTACAGCTGGCTAGAAATTAGTTTTATATATGGGCTGATCTACTGAATGCTTTTTTTGCTTAAGAGATAAAGAATGGAGGGGAAAATTGCCGGGTAAAGGCTCCATTATGGATCATATCACTGTTGTACACATATATAATGTATAACCATGTCTTATAAATACGAGACTTGTTGGGCAATCAATGGCGATTTTTGCAATTTAATCTCTGCTGAAGGAGATTTTCTTTCACTAACTCAGACTGTGAAGCCCCCCTAAGGCTCCTTCCTCATGACATTTTCCAAAGGGCATTTTTTTTATAGGATGTCCTTGTCCTCAAGCTAGTTTTAAAGACAATCCCTTTTTGCAAGACAAATTGCCCCGTAGCTTGTACTTTAAGGTTAAATCCGAGTGCTTCAAGAAGCTCAAATACTGGTGCATAAATGATGGAGGTGCAAGGGTACACTTTGTTTGCCAGGTTTCCTTGTAATGTAGCTTGGAAAGTAATCTAATTCTAAACTGTAGGGCTTAACCTAGCCCCTTAATTAATTTACTTTGTTTGTACATATTAAACATTTCATGGACCTTATTCTTTTCTATACTGAGAGATTTTTGTATGACCCAAAAGAGAAAACTCTGTAGGTTCTTTAGTGAAAACTCTTACGTAAGTACAGTCCATGAATGACACCACTGTTCACACAGGCTTTATATTGCTTTGTGGGAGTGTTTGAAACTCAATATCCAACATATTCTTTGTACACAGTGGCTGCTTAAAGATTAATAGCAGGTTAGTAATATTCATTATTCATAGATTTTTAGAGAGGGCTCATGCATGGCATCATACACCTCAGGTTATTCTAAGGAGAGGCCTTTGTCGTTTGTTGTCTTCTTTCAGGCATTTTTAAAGAGGCCGTGTGTTTGGCCAAGACAGATGTGTGTTTTATACGTTAAGTCATAGTTTATCAAAGTTTGAAAAAAAACCTGGCAACCTGTCAAAGTTATTTAAAAATGACATGTTTTTCATCAGTTTGAGAATCCAGTGTAGATAATTAGTCGATTCAAACAAATAATAAAAGTAATGCCCTCCCAGACATGGATGGAAAGAGAATGATGTTTGGTTGTAGATCTGTACTCGTATGCTGTTTCTTTAATAACATCATCACTCACAGATGACTTTGACCAGAATTTATTTGATCTGAATCCCATTTTTCACACTCTGTACATCACTCTGTACAGGCGTGTCACCTCTTGGAGCACGTCATACTCGTCACATTGCATATTGGATTGGGGCCGAAGGACTGTGCTGAGTAAAATTCTATGGGCTTCCCTCTGTTGCCTGGCAGGAGTGGTCTGACATTGATTATGATGGAGCACTTGTTGTAGGGTAGAAGAAATAAGCTGGCTTGATTTTGACCATTTTGTTAGCTCTTTGATGTACAACAGAGGCGGTACATTATTCTGCTCTGAGCCCAATGGGTTGTCTTTTCTGGGTTTTACAGCTCCATGCTCCTGTTTTAGATAAGCCCACTTGGCTATAAAAGTCAATATTGGGCGAAGACCATGTCTGGCTTTTTGGTTTTCTGTGATATATTTGTGGGTAAGAAATATGCATTTTTTTTTTAAATAGTCCTTGCAGGGTGCACACATCTGGCAGAGGAACCGATGCTGTGTCTGCAGTGTTGCTTCAAAGCCTGTCTAATGTGTTTTGGAAAAGTGATCCAGTGATTGCAGCTCCCACTTTAATCAATCAGAACAGCTGCCTGTTGGTGTGTTTGGGAGCATGTTGACAAATTGAGGAAGGATTCGGCATAAGAAATGACTAGCCGTAGTGCAGGGTGCATCCTGATGGGGAAAAACCTCAGGGAAGATATAAGCTGGAACTGGAGGCGAGTATATGAGGAGAGCTCCATGTGGATGTGGAGTTGAAGCGTCAATGGAGCTGCAGAACCTGAAGCAGGAGTGTGGCTGATAACGAAGTGCATCACTGGAGTAGGAGCTGCATTTACAGCTAGGCGCACGCACATCCTCTTAGCTACTGGTTAAACTGGGGCTGGGTGCTTTTTCCGAGTGGAGGCAATGAAGCAAGCTTTTAAGTCGATGATGTAGCAAGAGCAGGGCGCAGTCTTCGAGCTGTCGTTGGAGCTGACTGCATTGGCACACTTCGTGACTGGCTCTTTAAAGAGAGAGGGGACAAATCGCTTTGCATTCAAATACCTGAAATGCTCTTTGTTTTTCAAGGATTTATTGAACTGTGCTAAATGCTCCCCTCTAATTCAGCAACATGTTTTTCTGCCTTCTGTTTTATAGTTTCAAATTCAAGAAGTGAAACACAATCTTTTATTCATTAGATAAGTGGGTGTGTTAGAGGTCACGTACAGTGTAATTGCCACCTACACAAGTCATGAGAGGAACAGAAATATCCTGGAGATGTGGGCACTGTGTGGGCTTTTGTTTATGTTAATGAGTGGAAAACATCATGCATTTACTTGAAATATTACAGTTTAACAGACGCTCATATTGTATTCCTGAGTGGTATAAGTATATTTTGTTTTTTACCCTTTAAATCCACATATAACAAAAACAGTTAATGAACTTTGCTTTTCTGAGTTCTTGTATTTAAAACTTAGTTTATTTTTACATTTCTACCTGTTCTAACATTTCTCTTTTTTAATCTTAGACCAATTAAGCTATCCTACGCAATTTCAGTTTTCCTCAGATCCATAGATTCCTGAAATAAAATAATTGTTTCATCTTTATTTGTTGTTCTTGTTCCCCTCCGATACGAATATGTTTTCATTGTGAATAGTTTTAAAGCAATTTAAAAGATGACTCATTGCGGATGTCATCACTGAAGCCTCGTTTTAAATATATAAATGGTAATAAAAAGAATAACCTGTGACGCATACTGCTCTGTGTCCTTGCATGTTGGATGGAGGCAGACTGAATATTATACAATAGTGTCTTTAAGTATTCAACATGGCATGATAAAGGGTTTGTTTTTATATTCACTTAGTCTATGCCCATTGAGATTGTTTCATACGTTCCTACCATAGATACTTGAGGAATAAAGTGCATCATGTATTGTGCTTAGTTGTATCAACTAACGTACGGCTCACCGTATGAAGAGTCCAATCCCTACGTCTATAGTTCAATGTCTGCTGGTGTAAAAATACCTATAGTGGATATTAAGAACCACCTGGATGACCCCTGTTTATTTGGAGTGAAGACAATTATCGGACACATGATCTGTGGGTATTTATAAAGCCAAGGCCCTGTCTTAATTCGTTCAAACAGATCCATTACTGTGTGGCCAGCCAGACAGGCAGCCTGCCAGCCAGCCAGCCAGTCCATTTCCATCTTCAACAGCAGCAACGTACGGGCGGGCAGGCAGAGCAGAGGCAGGCAGCGATGGCGTCAGTGGAGAGTTTTTAGCACGAGATAGGATTCCTGAAAGCATCTATTTTCATTCACGGTTGCTCGGCCTTTATCGAGGCCCAGGACACTTCGTGAGAAGAGCAGGGTGCTGATGAATCACTTCTCTGTTCATCACAAGACAGAGGGCAGGGACATTATCACAGCAAGGAGGACCAAAGGGTCTCCTACTAAAGTCCTTAATACAAGGAAAGGGCCAGCAGCACATTTTTCATGCCCTTGAATAATAGTTGTACTACTTTCAGTAACTTTGGGACTATAAGCATATGGAGCTCTCAAAGCACGAGCTAATGCTACCTAATTCTCTTGTTAGGACAGCATTAGGCAAGACCTTATAGCCTCTTCAAGTCCACAAACGATAGTGTTGAACAATTCCTCAGTGATTGTTAAGACCCATAGTCTACTCTAAATGTTAGATGGCAAACTGATAGTAAAAGTTCTAAAGTCAGACTATAAAACCACCGTCATGTTAGGCCACGTTAGCTGCAATATCTCAGCATATATCGGATTAATTGTCGTGTAAGGTTGTAAAGCAATTCAAGTTCCCCAGAGGATGAATCCTGCTAACAACCTGTTGATGTCTTGCCAACTATTAGATGGATTATAATTCGTTGTAATGACTTTGGCGATGCTGCTATAATCAGGTCAAATTTTGTATCTGTCCAATATTTTGGTTTGTGACCAAATACCGGAAAACATTTCCATCACCCATGTACTTTATGTTTAGTGCTTATTAGACGTGGTTGAGTTAGCATGCTGATGTTAGCAATTGATTTCAAAGCGCTGCTGTCTTTAAGTTCTACCTAGACTCTATTTCTTACCCTAGGAATATGCAACAGTTGGACGGCTTCATACTCTTAGACAAACTCTTAGACGCGTAACCACATTATTTGGATTGAAATGTGAACACCGTCTGTCTGCCTACAACATGTTTTCATCTTTGCTTTACTAACGTATGCCTGTCTCTTTGCAGGTTCTACTGGGACTTGATAATGCTCATCATGATGATGGGGAATCTAATCATCATTCCTGTGGGAATAACCTTCTTCTCAGAGCAGACCACCACCACCTGGCTGGTCTTCAATGTGGCCTCGGACACCATCTTCCTGGTGGACTTGGTCATGAACTTCAGAACTGGGATCGTCAACGAGGAGAGCTCCGAGATCATACTCGACCCCAAGATCATCAAGATGAATTACCTGAAAAGCTGGTTTGTTGTGGACTTCCTCTCCTCCATTCCAGTGGATTATATATTTTTAATAGTGGAGAAAGGCTTTGATTCGGAGGTTTATAAAACAGCCCGTGCCCTGCGAATCGTCCGCTTCACCAAGATCCTCAGTCTTCTGCGTCTGTTGAGACTGTCCCGACTCATCAGATACATACATCAGTGGGAGGAGGTATGTATATGTGTGTTTGTCTGTACACATCAGAGTAGGAGATTTAAATACATGTAGAGTAGGACAACAATGCAGAGTTATGGTTGTTTAGATTTCTATGCTGCATGGTGGTTCTTCTCCCCGGCAACAACCTTGACAGGTTAACCCACGGATATAATTGTGCAGGTTTAACACTAATAGGTTCTGTCAATCACCGCTGGTCAGAAGGCTTATCTGTAGATAACAAGTAATAATGTCAGTTTCAGCTCACTGATGGGTGAAATTAATTCAGAATCCAAAATCAAAAGTAATTGCCTCCTTTTCTTTCAGGTAAAAATGCATTATATAGTGGGTTATATGGATTTAGGGCATAATATAATGTACGCAGGAGTATAACGACGTGACTTTATAAAGGTAAGATAGATATTAAAGGCTAAATGAACTACTTATGAATGTTTTGTTGGTGTGGCTGTACGAGATGGTGGATTTGGTGTCATCCTCAAGGTTAAACCCCAGTGGACATTACAGAGACTGATACATTATTACCCTCCATCGAGTCATTGCACTCTCTGACTCAGACTGCTTAACCGGGCTCTAGCCTTCTCCTTCCCGCGGTAACGATTTCATTACACACTGAAGGATTCCTTCCCTTATCATGACTGTTCCATTCCAGCAGGTAGATACATTTTCACATCGTGACCGGGAAAAAAAAGCGATGGCATCACGTTTGATTTAAAATGTAGTTTGAACTAAATGTAACCATAAATCTATTTAACAAGCTGGCTGCTCTTTTCTCACCTCATCCTCAACGTCCTTGCCCTCACAGCTCCCTGTCCGCCCCTCACTGTCTGTCTCCCCTGTTGTTATAGCTGCTGTTATCCATGCTATTTGTTACAAGCAAATGGTGCCGTTGCCAGGGCTCAACCTGAGGTTACATTCATTGGAGTGGACACAATGTATTGTGCAAGGATATATCAGTAACAAAAATGGCTTATTTACTGTATGAAGATGAAGCCATAAGCATTTATCTATAGTCATGAAGAGTATCTGGCCCAAGTTTGGCGTTAATAGTACAGTTATGCAGCGTTCCCATTTCCCAGCCCCCATAGTATGAATCAATGAACATTTCTGGAGCAGGAAAAGATCATCTTTGTGCTCGACTATCAATGAGGCAGCACACTTTTATACTGTGTATCGCTTATATTTCTCTGTCAGTGTATGTTTAAAACTATCTTCTATTACCCTTAGTGCATAATGTGGCATTTGACAAACAAAAGCATTATGCATGCTTCAGCAGAGCATTATTCAACCGCCAGTCCAAATGTGGATTTACTGTATATACGCACAACGAAACAGACACACAAACCATATTCTGAAAGAAAGCACCATATGGATCTCAGTCGCTTGGTGTTATGGTATTTGGCATGCACACAATGTGGGAAGTTGATTATTAATTTCAGATCGGGGCTGTACTGTATATAATACCGCCGTGCAGTTTGCAGAGATGTATGCAGTGGGAGGATGAGATGGTATGGACCAGGTTAGAAACACAAATAGACGGTGCCCAAGGTTAATGAAAATCTGCAGTGAGCATACATTGAGGCAGGCAGTGCAGTATAGAGATGTGTCATAATGCTTGATACAACAGCAGAGCTCACTCCCTGCACTTCGTCTCACTAATGCTCAGTCATTCCTCTTTGTTTCCAATTGTCTCTCAGCACCATACCTTTCGTTTAAAGTTTGAAAATTCAGCATAGAAATTAAATAGTTATTTTGGTGTTTAACAGACACATTGAATAATTACACAACAGCGAATCAGACACATCCAAAGGAGGCGTGAGGGGAAAGAAAAGGCACTCGTGGAAACATTCCAAACTGTCGTAACATGTTAGGTGTAGGATGCAGGATTAGAGCTTTAATGGAGGGGCAAATGCAGTCCCCTGCTGCCATAGTGGGTTCCAAGTAAACAATCATTACAACATCCCCGGGATGGACTCGATTAGTTATTCAGACTGCGAATCTCAACCATAAATCATCTTGCAGCCCTGCACGTCCGTCATTCCCTCATCTGTCGTGTGCCTCCCCGCCCCCCTCTTTTCACTTTGTCACCATCTCTTCCTTCCATCTGCGAAGTAAAGAGGGTTGTTATTTCATCAGCGCTGGACCCAGAACTAGGCTAAGTCAGATTTGTTGATTTGCCAACACACAGTTTTTTTGTGGTGACTTCATCTTCTTCCACTCTCAGGCCTTATACTCCAACAGTCTTCATTTGTACCTCACAGGAGCCGCATTTTCCTGCTTGGTTGATACCAACTTATTCATGTTTGAAATATTTTAAAGATGAACCTTAACTAATTCGATAGTAAAAACATGCTTGTGCCAAATGGGAACATACTGCTATGAAGTGGCTGCTGGGTATTATATGTAAAACAGCTGAAAAGAACAGTATTAGTGCCCACAGAGGAACTGATGCATCTTATTTATATCTTATTCCCATTGTCACTCATTAGTAGAAGTAGATTAGTCCATCTGGCTGTGCCAATATAAGCAATGACGGCCAAAAGAAACCTACAGAACAGTTTCAATAAGCATTATTACCACCTCTTATTTTATTTAAAGGCCACTAGCAAGACCCATTTTTGTTATAAAGGCTCTTACCCCAGCTTTTTTTCATTTAATTGAAAGATTATGCTAATTTTCATATACATACAAAAATCCTTCATCAATTATCCAGTAGAATGCATCACAGCATTTACAGCTACAGTTCATTTCAAATGACCTGTTTTGTGTGCTACTATTTCTATGCGTGCAGGGTCCTTTCTTTGTTTGTTCAATCATTTATTCATTTGTTTGCTCACACATAATTATTGCAATGCACGGGGCTTAGGGAAATTGCAGCAAACAGTGTGAAGGTCACGCAGGGCAGTAAATATACGCTCTGTATTCAAACATCATAATTTAAACAAGCACTGAACCAAATGGAGGCTGGAGGACGTTTCTACATCTAGAAAGAAACGTAGTGACTTTTTCCTTATATTCTTGGGAACATGTGAGTGCCTAAATCAAATCTTTGAAGTCTTTCTAAGTGGTGCCGACATCTTTCCACTGTACAGTTGGTGTAGCTTGACTCAAAGACATGTACAACCGGCATGTTACACAGAAAGTGTTTTAACCACTTTGTAGTGACGCCAGAAAGGGCAACAAGGACTCTTCTGCCAAGGGAAATGCTTTTTCGAGGGCATGTTCTTTAGCCTTTTAGATCTTGAGCAATTCAACAACCAATTAAACTTTTTTCCTTACAAAAGTGTTTTGTAAATATTAGAATATGTTGCACAAAGTCATTTTAACCATGGTTCAATATAACGTGAGAAGTGTTACTTGTACTAATGGAATATCACTTGATTCTGCAGTTACCCTCACTTCTACTTTAGCATTGTTTTGGTTTTGAAGCCACACATGTACAGTTTTTATTATCAATTATCAATCATTGGCTCTTTTACAGCATAACATAATCTAATGAAACTTCTTTATACTCCCTATATAGCACCAAACAGCAAACAGGCGAGGTTAGCAGGTGAACATATAGCATTTATCAGCTAAAACTCAAGATATCTGCCTCAAGACTGGGGAAACAGAGTGAAACAAGAGAGTATATATTTAACTTAAATTCATCATGTATCCAGAAACTCCAAATAAAAAGAGTTCACATACATACAGTACATAAATAAATCCCTTATTAATAAGTTCCCCGTGTAGAGACCCACAGAAGACTTATATTTAATCACTATGGATTTAATAATTAAATCAAGTAATGAAGCAGTTTTTATAATGGTCATTTTTGGCCCTTTCATCTTTAATTTCGCCGGCATTTTGAGATGTTTCAAGGGCACTTTTGCCCCCTGCTCCTGTTCATTTCCAACCCTTCTTATGTTTTAGCTAATTATCCCAACGACCTTAAAGTCACAGTTCTTTTCCCCTTTTCCACTTCCGCTGAGCTAACGTTGGACATATTCCAGGATTTACATGTAGATACCAGTCTGTCTAGTGCTAATTTTGGGTAATTGTATTTCATTAAAACATGCAAAAACAAACCAAAGGGGTAACATTTTCAAACTGCGGTAGAGAATGCCCACAGGTCCCAGTGCCACATCTGGCTCATCACAGCCACCAGGCCTCCCGCCAAATCCCAGCGCGAGCACCGGGGCTCAGATTGGACGTGTGGCAGCAAACCAGCCCCCCCGAGGGTTGTTGCCCAACACAGACTTATTCTGTTACTCAACAATAGTGTATACTCATCAGGAGACATGATCTGTACAACACTGCATTTTGCTTACTGAAGATCAGGGATATTAGGGACTATTCTTTCATCATCAAACCTGTACATATTGAAAAAAGGAACATCGTTTTTTGTGGAAATATCTTAGACATAGCAAAGTGCCACTCTTCTGTATAATCAGTTGTTTCTCATCAAGTCTTTTCTCTGAAGAAGAGTCATCAATGCTTGTTTTATAATACACCTACTGGGACCTAATTATATTTCCCTGTGTGATGCTTCGTTGAAAATGTTGAATGAATACATTAGTTGAACATTTTACAAGCCAATTTAGCACACTGCACAACCAGAGAGCTAACATCATTCTGGGCTTGTACTGTTGGTCTGTTGTGACAAATGACTGATATATAGCAATATATTACAATGCATGCTTTATTCATAAACTAGCTGTAAGGTCATGAGATATTCTCTCATCATTCTGAGGGAGATTCTGTCGTATTTAACTAGGAAAGTGTTGTTCTTTGTTGCAGCTGATGCCTTACATTTGAGTGATGGCACACACATGTGTTTATTTGTTTGTGTGGGTTGTTAAAATCGCACAGACTCTGCTCTATAACACACTGTAATCCTCGTTCACTCAATAATGAACAGAACATGCATATGATAGATGCTTTTGCCCCCAGTTTGGGGCTTGTTTTCCCATTTAGTTAAACAGGTCGAGGTGTATCGCATTACATGTTGACCGGTCATGTTGCTGAGTCAACTGTATTTTGATACTGTTATAACACACTGTCAGACATGGTGAGCTACACAATGGTTGCCTACTGCTTCAATTAGTGTAAACAAACTGCAGTAGCAGGACTTTTGGTTACAAGCTTCACTTTCCACCCTGCTTTATTCTAACTCTTACCTAACGTGCAAAAGCCACTTCATTGATAAAACATACTATAATTACTAAGGGCTGCGCTTGTTTTCTTTGCATGTCTGCGTCATCATCTCATGCCATCATGTCATCACCAGAGATGAGTTTATGGAATAAGTATGCCCTAAAGCATCTGCCAATCATAAGCACAGTATGCAGTCTTGTTGAGTCTTCCCTGAATCCCTGATGTTGATTTGCGTCATGATCTCAGGCCTGCAATAAGAGCAGTATTCATGATTTTATAGAAAAGTGAGTTGGATGTGCGTGACGCATGTTGCGGCTGCCTGTAGCAAGAGGCCGCTATGCTAACCTCCTATATGTGCAGCTCCACTTTATCAGCATCAGAATCTGTTGAGAGCTGTCGTGCAAAAGCGACATCATGTGAGAGTCACTTCTCAAATTCAGATTGTTCTATTAATTCCTGCCTGGAAAATATACTAGTTGATGATTTGTATTTTCGTGCTGCCTTGTTTTATTTCCGAGAGAGCATTAGTTTCCAATAGAGCAAAATTAAGAGTGTGATTCAAAGGTCTGTTTCTTTATAGTGTCTGCAGCGAGTCTTCGTCCAAAGGTGCACCGTTGATTCACAGCTCAGTGGGTAAATGTATCTAAAAGGGGAGAAGATGTGAGTCAACTGACCTGGGTATCTAGTTCACTGTGTGGGAGAGGAACATGAGTCCTTAAATACATCACGCTAAATAAATTAGGTCCCATGTTATTGTGTGAAAGTCCCGGCAGACCCATTTTTTTTTATCAACTCTTCCATCTTTAGACTCAGTATGTCAACACGCTGACAGTGGAGGTGTGAAAGTCTGCACCTCTTCACTTTGTGTTATGGTCTTTTTTAATACAGCAGGCTGAAATAAAGCCAGGACAGAAATACAAAGGTGTTTCTTGAAATACATTGTTATAAAAATAGCTTTTCTTTACCTTATGTATACAGCCCTTTTTGTAATCTACAATGCAGATCAGATACATTTATGAAAGCAAACAGACATTTCACATCAAAGTACAAGACAGGAATAGGTTGAAAAAGAGCTGCATTTTCTGTGTATAAATTAAGTATTTGACAAACACACATGTGATGTTTTTGAGTAAGGGTTTATATTGATATAGATACAATGACAGAAAGCAGACGCATTGTAAGATGAAAATGGAGATTACAGAGGAGGGGGCAATGCGTGCTAGTACACTTGCACCTCAGCAACAGAGTGTGGTGTCAAAGGAGATTAGTCATCTTGGTTTATAGACTCCTGTGGACCTGATTCACCTGTCCCTTAACGGGCCACGCCAAATCCTTTGTGCCTTGAGGCCTACGCCCTGTTCCCATGCAGGGCCACAGGTGCATAAGCACGCACACACACACACACACACACACACACACACACACACACACACACACACACACACACACACACACACACACACACACACACACACACACACACACACACACACACACACACACACACACCTGTCATCATCTCCAGTTGCAGCCACAGCCGGGTGATATCGTGGCAGAGTTGAGAAACTCGGTTTGCAGCCATTGCTTAGCCGGTGCATGTATGCCCCCTGATACACACACACTGTTAAAACACATTCACAGACGGAGCACATCGCGGCGGTCCATTCCTCCACAGCCGAGGACTTCAGCCGCTTACTGAGCTGTCAGTGATCAGCGCAGCCCACACACACACTCTGACACACACACACACACACACACACTCTGACACACACACACACCTCCCCCCTCCCCATCTGTACCAGCCAGTGAGGAGGAGTTCCACACGGTCCGCCCCCAGTTTCACATGTCACTGAAAGACTTAAGCTCTGTGCAGTGACAATAACTGCTCATACATAAAGACGATTACAGTTCATTAAAATAATAGCTATGTTTGATCATTTCCAGCCAGGTTCCATGAAGTCGAGAAATTAGACGTTAAATGTCTTTTTATCCCCATTAGGCAGTATGTAAATAGGGTCCAAATGATATCTTTGGCTGATACTGATCTGTGTGTTTACATTTTTCTTGCTGATGTTTTTGTCGTTCTTACTTCATTCGTATTTTTGTGGTATCTTATAAGTGCACTAAAACAAGCAAATAGATACTAATAAAGTATACTTGTTCTTCAACAAGAGTTATGTACATTAGTGGAAGGGAACATTCATATTTCAAATGTCAGATATCCCTGAGTCCAACAACATTTAAACGCTCCAAGAAAAAAAAATCTAATTAGCCTAATGTAAAGAAAAGATTAAGTGTGTGTGTGCCGTTCACAATTCAAATGAGACTCATGTCGGTGCCAGAGGGGAGGGTGGCCTCTTTCTCTCTGCTTTTCTCACACCCTCTCACGGGCACAAAACACACACACACACAAACACACACACAATGCCAGTGAAGACAGCAGGGGGACCCAGTGTGCCACACACAGACGCAGTGAGAATTTGGACTGACTGAAATGGCAATAAACCCGTCAGGACTTAATTCATTAAATGTTGCCCCCCCCCCTGAGGAAAACAAACACTATCTTTCTGCATCTGGTTATTAGACATCGCCCATTCTCCACCCTAACCTTTGTCGGTTTCACGTCAATTATCATCTCTCAATTAACTGTTGTTATCACTGTTTTATTCACAAATATTGACATTTGTGGTTCCTGCTTTCACCGTGAACCGTAGAACTGGGATTAGACGGGAAGAGGAGATGAAAAACAATGCATATGTGAGATTAAGAGTCAGATTAAAGAGGCATCTCTCCGTCTAGTCTGAGATAAGATTATCGATTAATGAAGGGATTCATCAGAGCCAACAGGATTTAAAAAGATCTGAAAGGAACAATGAAAGTCCGTTAGAGTGTTGGGACTGACTGTGAGTCTGTGTGTGTGTGTGTGTGTGTGTGTGTCTGTGTCTGTGTCTGTGTGTGTGTGTGTGTGTGTGTGTGTGTGTGTGTGTGTTCAGGGTGGAACTGTAAATCGTCCAAACGTACAGAGACAGGAAATGAACCATTATAAACCCTCGGCCATTTCCTGTCACATAGCCAGGGTGCTCTCTCTATCATTTCAATCTGACAGTAGGTAGGTGCGCTATTCACACACACACACACACACACACACACACACACACACACACACACACACACACACACACACACACACACACACACACACACACACACACACACACACACACACACACACACACTTTAGAGCTCAACAAAGCTGTGAGTTGTTTTAAGACACACATTTTGTTAAAAACTTTAATATGACCTAATCTTAAGCAAGTCAAATTAAAATTGATTTACATAATGTTTAGGACAGGAGGGACATTAGGTGTGTGTAAGTGCATCAGTTAATATGACACTTGCCACTATAAGATCAACCTCAAGTTAAAAACATTTGTTGAGATCAGTGTGTGTTTACATGGGATGCAGAGCAGACTTCAGTGTGTGTATACGGGATGTAAAGGAGACCTGCGTGCGCGCGTGTGTGTGTGTGTGTGTGTGTGTGTGTGTGTGTGTGTGTGTGTGTGTGTGTGTGCGAAGGATGTGTTGCAGACTGCAGCTAGAATAACTCCCAGCTGAATTATTTATTTGAAACTTCCCCCCCCCCACGTCTGTGTTGGCTAAAATGAAACACTATCGACTCCTTCCTCCGCAGGATCAAACACTATTGGCCGGCTGGAGCGTAAACAGGAAGTGGCCAATTGAGAAGTGACTCAGAGTCCAAAACAAGCAGCAGAAGAAACGAAGGAAGACAACTGAAGGTGTGAACAAGTGGACAGTTTGACAACTCAATAGTCTGCAATTTACTGGCTAATGAAACTAAAGAAAAACTGGTCTATGGGATAAAGCAGGGGAGAACCGTAAGAGCAGGACAACAAGCAGAAAACTATGAAACCTGTTGACAGTCTGTCATTAATCCCACATGTTCAAGTAAAACCCATAATATAAATTCAATACTCCTCTGATCAGACGTGCAATAACTCAGCTCATTAATGTGTGTCTATGGCGCTTGCCGTGCTCAGATCCGGCTCACATCCCTCCAATAAATCCCTGATCAGGATGAAGACAATAAACCTGAAGAAGAGGAGGGGGCAGGGGCACTAGCATCAGGAACGACTGATCATGACCGGGGATTTTCTATTTCAAAAGGTCAGCAGGGGTCAAATGAGGAATCTTATTTTTTTATTTAACCAGATAAAAGCATTGAGATCAAATCTAATTTTCAATGCTGACCTGGCCAAGAAGGCAGCAACGTTACACATAACACAGACATATAAAATACAGAGAACATAACTAAAGGATGAATGATTTCATGTGAAAGTCGATTAAAACCATGAAAACGAAATCAAAACCACGCGAATACTGAGGAAAGAGGAAGTTTTGACACATCGGGGGAAGACTCTCAGGATGGATCATGCTGCAGGAAAACACCAGAGGAAGTAAGAGCAGCTGACCATGTTGAGATTTAAAAAGTGTATTCTGTAGTATACAGTAATATAGGGCCTCAAAGATCAACAAGAGAAATCTAGAAACCATTAAATACCATAAAACAAGCTGTAAATCTTGCACTTGATGTTGCTTCATCAACTCTACTTAAGCGCCTGTCCCGGTGACAAAGCATCTACAAATGCTCTTTCTAAAAATACACACGTCTTCTCTAAATACAGACCACAGGAAACAGACCAGAATAGTTCTGAACCGTCGCTGACAGGCAGTAAGATCTGAAAAATCATCGAGCAAACACTGCACACTCCTCGTGCACGATAACACACAGGCCTTAGCATAATTATACCAACGTTTATTGAACCGCCTTGAGTAAATAAGGATGTAGTTATAAACTCTTATAATCTTTCTTTTCCCACGTTTACTTTGAGCTCCTTGGATGAGGAAGAGGAGACATTTATCAGAAGGAACAGTTATTTTTTTGTGCTATTTTTGGATTTGATAATCTTCTCTTGTAAACATGTGCAGGGGCTATGATGCAGAAATAGGAGGTAGGATATAAGAGCGTGTGAAAACGCCTTGAAGACCAAATGCTGTTTAGCCACACTCAGTTTATATGTACTGTAGTCACCCTGCAGACTTTGCCACTCGTCATGTTTACTTCCAATAAAACAAGAATGAGTTCTTTGTTATGAAAGCTTTCTTCATTAGAAAAATAAACTCATGACAGCAGGGACTTTTGCTTTTCTACATGTTTTAAAGGTTGCTTGCAGTTAGAGGTCACTGAAGACTTTTTCATAAGAGTTACGGGTCATAGAAGGTCAAGGGACAAAACTGGAAACTCCATCCAAGACCTGTGATCCTCACGTGGCCAAAAAGACCCAGCTAAGAACTTCCTTCCCCGTGAACATGAGACTCTCCATGCACAGACACACCTCACACACTACAGTTTGAACCACATCTGTGTATCAACTCACTATGCAGCTGCCGGCAGCACTGGGTGCATCTGTAGTAGCTCTCCATCTCCTCCAGCGAGATGCGGACTAACCTCTCCGCTCCATATTCCCGTCTTCCCGTCAGCTCCTTCATCCCGTCTGTTCCCTCTTCCTCCCTCACAGCAGGTAGAGAGAAGAGTACCACATCCTGCTCTCATTTCTTCTTCCAAACCCTCCCTGTCTCTTTCACACACACACACCTTTCATAGACAGTGATCACACCACTCCTCTCCCATGTGCCCCTCCCTGCTGCTGTGGAAAACTGGGCATGACACGATCGTATTTACTGGTGTAGAAATGAATTCACCTGTCCATGTCTTGACCACACACATGCACACACAAAGTAATCCTCTCAATCAATTGCATGTAGTGTTCAGTCTTTACAATACTCTTTCCTTAAAGAGTGGTGTCAGCTTGGGCTTAAGAGGTTTTAGAAGATCCTTTCCAAATACTACTACGATATAAAAAAGAATTAACTGACGTGGAAACACTTCATAGTCCAGCCGGGACCTGCCGTATTGTTAAAGCATTACATCACCAACTCATTGACCCTGTATAAGAGTGGACGTAGTCACCGTGTAATGGCTCATTCGTTTGCCTCAAATGTGGCTGTATCTTTTTTGATTGGGAACCATAAGTGACACAAAATGGTGAAACTAACTACACCCAAACAACAAACATGACGTTTTTTCATGGCAGTACACGTGAAGTGAGATGTGGTGAAGCCTGAGGGATTACAGTGTTTGAACAGAAAAGCTCCAACACAAAATCATCCTCCCACGAAATGTCTACAAACCAAGATTACTCCTCTGACCTGGTGAGAAAGTTCATGTGGACAAATATTGATTAGGCTGTACCACAGAAAAACCGACTAAACTTGACCTAAGCTACGGCTATAATATGACCTTTTCAAAGTGCAACCGGTGGCAATGTGCCTGCTACTCACCTCGTCTGCTGGTCTGCGTGGATTTATGTTTCCGCTTCCTTTCTGCAGGTTGACAGACACAGCAGAGAGTTTCAAACATGATGAACTCAAACACCAGTCTGTCTTTCTAGTTAGTTTCTTTGTCCGTCCCTTAACCACGCTAACAGACATGTATGCTGCTGTAGTGAGACATAATGTAGGTTATCAATAAGCTACTCACAAAGGCTATAGCAGGTAATCAGTTACAGAGGTCACAGTGCAACCCTCCAGCAAAGACAACTCTTAAAGTGACAGCTAAGCTTCAACAGAAAGAAACATGTTGGGACAATTTCAATATAATCCGAGCACAAAGACCAGAAACCAGACAGGAACTAGAGTCTTTCAATAACTCCACAAGGTATATTGGGGTTTTTTAATAAACAGAAAGAACTGGTATTTATTTGATATGCTCAATATTTTCCTACTATAGTCAAGAGCAACTTATTTTGGCATGATCCATTGAGAAAATGAACTGCAAACAACAATGGAAAAGCCAACATAGCTACAACAAACAGACTAGCATCAACAAGGAAACTACTAAGTGCAGTTCTTCCATGATGTTTGAAGGATGGGGGGGTAACACGGCAGGGGGAATCTCCCCGTGCTGATAGGAAGTCCTGTCATCCTGTCACATTGATTTGAAAACAGAACGCTCTTTTGACATTGAAATCCACAAAATAAAACCTGAATCGTCGCAACCATCCCACACTAACACTGACCTGTAGATCTGCAGCTCCTGCTGTGTGTGTGTCGGGTCAACAGACTGAGAGACACGAACACATTGTGAAGCAGTCCGCTCATCAGCTCCTGGCTCACTTGAATTAACTCAAAAAGAGACATCGTCATATCTCTAAAAGTTTCATGCTATGAGCTTATCCCACACGCTGCCTCCTCTCCTCCTCCTCGGTTTAGCCGCTGTGTTGCCCTTCTGAATGTGTGATTGTTTATCTCGCTTCATGTTCAGCTCTGTGTTTATCACAGGAAGAGAGGGTGGAGGGATGACATAAACCCCCCTACAGCTAATTATACTAGCTTGGCAAATATGCGTGTGATATTTGGACTCAGCAGGGTACAAAAGTAAGCACACATTTAGGCTAGTCCCTTCCTGTAGTGTGGTATAGGTTTTGGTACATGTAAATGGTCTGCAAAGGCTTGAATCCCAAAGTTCCCTCCTTTAAGGAAGTGTTCCCAATCTCATAATCTTCCCAACAACAGACAAACAACTCCCTCTATGCTAATGAGTCAACTAGTGATTGGTTTCAACACAAGGCCTCTNCCTCCCTCCTCTCCACCCTCACCCAGCGCAGGAGCAACACACCCCAGTGGGAGAGAGGACGTCCAACCGCATCTTTCATAGTAACCGAGGCTCACTTCTCAGCCAGGACCCCGGTGTTTCTGACCGATCTGTCCCGGAGGTGCGTCCAGATAATCCGCTTTCTCCGCGCCGCTTCTCTTCGCTCCGGTTCCGCTCGGCGCCGGATCGGTCCGCTCGCTTCCCCCCGGAGATCAGTTCATTCCCTGGAAACTGGATGAATTATTGGAGAGTTGTGAACAAGTGCGAGAAGAAAGCTCGGGATCCTCGCTCCGTCCAGGGAAGACAACACTCTGCCAGAGTTGTGGACGAGAATGGAGGGGACGTCCCTGTATCTTCCTATTGTTATTTTACTGATGCAATGTAAGTAACGGAAAGTGTTCAGAATTACTCACTGCTTCGCTGGCTGTTTGCTTCCTTCCTTCCTTACTATCTCTCTCAGAGATAATGCTTAGAAAATAGAGTTAAGTGCCTGATAGCTTAATGTACTTTAATTGATCTAATTATAAGGATTTCTGTTTTATTCTAACTGTCCATGGATGTCGAGGATCAATACCTTAAAAAAAATGCAGTTCAATTTGTGCTCTTCGACTTAATTTGATTAACATGTTTTCTTACTCAAATAGTACTCTCATTTTCTTAAGGTTTTATTTCTAAAGCAAAAAAATACATTTGAAATCGTGAATTGACGTTTGAACCCTCCACAAGATAACACTTATGAAATTGATTATAAAAGTGCTCGCCTTAACCAATCTTTTATTTATAATCTATACTTTCCCGAAAAAGTCATTCGAGTGTGTGCTGTAGACCTTTATTTTTTTTCAACTAGTGAATTTAACTATTTTGAGATAGTGGTTTTATTTAATTACAGTTTATTTCAGGTTTTATTATTTTATTCAGAACATACATTTTTTGCAGTGTTAATACGCAGTTTCCCAGTTTAGTTGAAGCCCTTAGATCCATAAAACAGCCCTAAAGGTGTATTTGGCGGGGTGCCACCCAAGGGTGTGGGCAGCATGGTGGTAGCAGGCACCTGTTTCTGGCAGGAGAGGTGTGGGATCAATGCACGAACTCAGTGTTTGGATTTCAACCAGAAATGTCGAACTGTTTATCCTCACGCTGAGGTGTTTTGATGCTGACAAGTGGAGATGAACAAGATAAAACTCGTTTATTCAAAAAGCAAAAAGGCAACCTTTCCATGATGGAAAAAAGGAGATAGTGCCTCCAGGAGAGCAGGAGCCGTGTGGGATGGATGCTATGAGACAGTGAGAGTGAGTGACGCAGATTTTACTCTGTGTTTGCCACCTGCCAGACGACCAGGTCACAAGTTCACAGAGGTGTGTGTGTCCAGTCCCGCTGTGGACAACCCGTCAGAAATCACTCATCTTACACACACACACACACACACACACACACACACACACACACACACACACACACACAGATGTCAACAGAGCAGCTTCAAATCTGCCTGATGAACGCCTGTCGAGTGTATTACTTAAAAGAAAAAAAAGAAAAGAGGGAATGTTTTTTATTTGTCTGTGAGTTGAGAAAGACACCCCCCATCTCAACCTCACACACTCACAGAGACAGCTGTTGCTCACAGAGTTATAGTCACACAGAGAGGCTTTGTTGAAATGGAACACACACACACACACACACACACACACACACACACACGGTCAGTCCTCCCTGTTTTTCTCCCCCCCCTTGAAACGTTTGCACTTCCACGTTATCTATATCACAAAGCCGGGCAGGATACGCCCTATGGGCCTATACCTCCCTTCCTCTTCCATTTGTCCTGTTAATTTTAATAAGTGCCTTAATTATTACTGCGCCATGCTTTTGACCTCGCCACAGCCCTGGCAACACCAACCCCAGTGTCTGTAACACTCTGTACGGACCACGTAATGAGAGGAAAGCTTCGTGCCAAGGAGCGAGCGTGCCATCTTTCTATTTTTGCTCAGGCTGTGCCTCTGTGAGTTTAAGCTGTCGAGGCTTGATGTTGATACGAGGTGTGTGTGTGTGTGTGTGTGTGTGTGTGTGTGTGTGTGTGTGTGTGTGTGTGTGTGTGTGTGTGTGTGTGTGTGTGTGTGTGTGGACGGCTTTGTCTGCTAGGTCCATCCCAGAAGCATTTTAATTACCCTTGTATCTGAGGCCATATTGGAGGATCTTCAGAAACCTGCTGGAAAAACTTGATTTAAAAATCAATATAAGCCTTTTTCTAACTTCCATTTCAGTTTGTGAGTCATACATACCCGGAGCCAATTCTCAGTCTAATGTACCAGTATAAAGTCTGACAACCATTTATGATCAAATCACGTTTAGAACTCAAAGTATCCTATTGACTAGAGATTTTTTATATTATTTTCTTCAATTTGGTCCTAATACTAACTTTTAAATCTGGCAACAGACAGCTCTTGGTTGCCGAAACTGTAAATATGCCATTTGCTGTTTTTAGTACCCTTATGTTTTGAGTGCTGAATATATGCAATTATGTTTATTTGAAAATGAGACATACTGTAAAAGTATTTACACTTTATTACAAGACAACAATGATCCTGCTGAGGCCTGTGTAAATGCCCTTGAAGCATAATGGGTCTGGGTCTGACGGACTGTCCTGTTCTATAAATATCATTAATGCAAAGAAAATATAATATATACTTCTTTATGGTGCATGTTTTTTGCTGTCCCTATATTATATATATATATATATCTATATGTATATATATATATATGTTTTGACAATTTCTCCAAATGTTATGTTATAATCCTGCCTCCCAACAACAGTTAGTTACCTTGCAATACAGACAAAACCTCATGTGTGCAACAGAAGCCACTGAAAAGCCACCCAGTGCTCAGTGCTCCCCTTCATGCCACGGATCATGCATTTGTCTCTAACCTGAGTAATGTTACTTGTCGGCTTCTTAGACAGAACGTCTTTTCATCTAAAAAGTTACACCATGTTAACATTTCCCACCATGCAGTTGTGAAACGGTCCAATCTCGCCATGTGTTCATTGTCTGCCTCGACACTTCTGTACTTAATTGAGGCCATGGAAGCTGACAGTGTTCGTAGTAGAAGAGCACGACACAGGCCTCACATGCACAGCCTCATTTTGCGTGTGTGTGTGTGTCAGTCAGTGCAGCGGTAAAGTGCGGGCATGTTGTCAGCCCCGCTTGGTTTCCTCTTCTCAAAGAGACACAGTCGAAGGTGGCGGCAGGCCTGGTCTCACATTATGTGACAAGAGCGTCTCCCATTCACAGTCCCACTGTCTGAGAGGATCTCCCTCGCCTTCAATCCCACTCTCTTTTTTATTCATGCTCCTGCAAGTCTCCCTCCGCTAACCTCCACCCGCCTCACTCTCCTCCACTCCACTTCATTTGTATTCTATTCTTAGGGCCGCTCATCTCTCCTTTGTCGTGCCTTTTTAATCTCATTGTATCTCCCTCCCTCGTCATGCTCATCCTTTCGTGAGACAATGCTCCTCAGAGGGTGTCGAAGTACGGAGCCAAGGCCACGAGGATAATCCTGTTACACCGCCACAAGTCAACACATGGCAGAGCCGGGAAAAGGGAGCGTCTGCAGGGAGTGTGCACTTTTAATTCACTTAGCGCAAAGTAAGCGAAGCTGCTATAAATTGAGCCAACTTCAGGAAAAGCTTTTAAAAAGAATGCGACATTTGGCAGACATTATTATTGTAAAGGCTGTTGTTTATTTAAAGGTTTATTTTAAAATAGCTGTTGTCATGGAAAAAAAGCGAGAGAGACCTTTGGGTTTTTCTAACCAGCTTCAGTTTGTGGAGACGCCCAACATGGCCTGTTTTTGTCCTCACTTCCTGCCCCTTGTCTCAGTTTGCCCTCCATTTTTCCATGTCACCCCTCCCACATCTAACTCCAGTAACAATGGGCCCACACAGGAAGTGACTGACAAACAGGAAACTGTTCTCTTGTTTTTAAATTGACGAGATTGTGAGATTCTAATCTGTACGCATTATGGCATCAGCAGAAACAATGGCAGGAAGTAAAGGCATGTGTCAGAGAATGTATTTTAGACTTTCCAGAATATGTGTATATTTTCAATACACCGACGTTTTTTTAACAGCCCTTAATGTTCTGAGTAAGTACCGCAGAGGCCCATTCAACATTTATAATGTAATTTCAAAAATGCACAGCCTTAAGAAAAACTATCTTTACTTAAAGTTGCAGACTTCTGGGAGACGTTACAGTGTTGGTGCAGCAGCTGAGAGTGTTTGCTGTTCTTACAGTGTGCATGTTTTTAACCCTCTTTCTCTCAAGCAACCTTCAACTGCAATGAACCTGTATTTAACGGCCTGACGGCCAGGCAATAATCCGCTCCGTAAACCAATCAGGACACAGGAAAGAGTTGCCCCTGCTTCCTTTTCCTGGTTGGTGGTATCAGTGACACGCAGACGTCTGGAGAAGCAAACCTGGACAGCGTGCCGTCGGCCTCTTAACTAATGCCTCTCATACAGGGTAATCTGGACAAGCCTCTGTTGATATGCTTGAGGACCTTCACCTAACCTGCGTTTAAATAAACCCACGGCAACGCGGCTCTTTAACCCCTCTGGATTAGAGCGGAGCAGGTAGTAATCCTGCTCTCACTTCGGATTTCCTGGAGATCTCTGGCTGCCTCAGACAGTAAACCAAAGACAGCCATTAAGCATTCTCCTCTCGCAGTTGGCGGGCAATGTGGAGCACTTTACCCAATTCACCTTGCCCCCTAATGGATGAAAAGCATTTTTGAAATGCTCTCACCCCTCTTGTTGTATCTCCCCCTCCCCTTTCTTCTCCACCACCAGGTTCCCCCTCCGTTCCTGTCTCTGTGTCCACAGACAGCCACAAGGTGGAGGCGCACGAGTTTTCCGGTGAGGCAAAAAGAAAAAACATCCCCCCCTTGTACTGCTTTGTTAGATTCACTCTGACAGAATAAACCACAAGGCTATAAATAGACCGAGCAGTTAAAAATGTCCCTGATTGAAGGCTTCGCTATTCTGCCATAAATATCTCATTGGTGTCCCTTTTTCAGATGCCGTGCTGTCATGCACGTTCCGCACCGAGAAAGACCAGAACCCGCGCATCGAGTGGAAGAAGAAGGGCAGAGGTGTTTCCCTCGTGTACTATGATGGACAATTCAAAGGTGTGGAAGCTTGCAGAGTCATGTGTCAATGGTAGCGAGGCATAACGTCCTAACACACCTCTTATCCTTGACCCTTTCTTCCGGGGTTAAGGGTATGGATTTAATGGTTGAAATAAATGAAACACTAGCTGTCGTGTCGTCAGATTTATCAAGTATTCTCTTCCCTATTACAGCCGGAGTAGGTTTAAAGGTAGTCCAGCCTGAGCCTTTTGTTGTTGAAATGCATCAAAGTCCACTTAGAAGAGCGTTGACTTGTGTAATGTTCAAAACAAGCTCTGTGTGACTTCTTTCATCTAAATCTGCACATCACACAAAGAAAAATATATACTATCTTTTCTCAGAGAAAACTAAGACCATGGTTTAGGATGAATGTAATGTCACTTTTTAGTTTATTTATGGATAAAGAAATGTGCATATCGACTTTAGACATTTCCTCTTGGTGCTCCCTGACCTTCTGCCCTTTCCTCCAGCTCCCTTTGAGGGCCGGGCGTCTATTGAAGGGGCCACGGTGACGCTGCAGAGGGTGACCCAGGAGGACGCTGGGGAGTACCGCTGCGAGATCAGCGCTCCTAACGACTCCGTCCAACTGGGCGAGACCAACGTCACGCTCAAAGTCCTGGGTAAACAAAATCAATGACAGAAAAAAGAGCTCAAATATTTATGGGATCGGCTTGTTTTTTTTCTCCAGGTTTTTCTTATGTTTCTTTAATTTCCTTCCTTGTCCTGCCCTCCAGTTCCCCCCCACACCCCGTCCTGTGAAATTCCCAGTGGGGCAGTGACGGGCTCTGTGGTGCAGCTGACCTGTAGGGACCAGCAGAGCATCCCGCCTGCCACATACTCCTGGTTCAAGAACAGCATGCCGTTGAGCCAGCCATTGCGGGCCAACGCCACCTTTGTGATCAACTCACGCACAGGAGTGCTGGTGAGTGTGTGTCTGATTAGGGAAGGATGAGGAGTGTGTATTTGGACGTGGTTTACACTGTCTCCTTGCAATATCATGTCTCATCAGAAACGGGTTCAGAATCAGAGACAGGTTTATTACCAGGTTGACACGTACGAGGAATTTGACTTGGTGTCGCGGTGCATACATAAAAGTAAAACAAAAAACAAACAAAAACACAGATAGCGAACTATTTAGAGAATACTATAATAACATTTACATTGAAATAGAATGCAATAAAATAGAAAATATGTGCAGTAAGCAAACCAGATATTGTGTGCATTATTGAAAGAATCAAGGAAGTTCTGCTGTCAGGTTTTGGTGAAGGTGCTCTTTGGTTTTGATGCTAGTTCTTCTTGCTCATGGACATGTCAGCAGATCTAAATCTAAAACGCTCATCATAAATAAGTTTCTTCTTCCCTCTCTGTCTCTATGCAGGAGTTTAAAGCGGTGGCCAAAGAGGACACCGGTCGATACAGCTGCCTGGCTTCCAACGGAGTGGGGCCACCCAAGATGTGCGAGGCCAAGCACATGAATATAGGTGTGTGTGTTCTTCCTGTGTGTGTGTATGCCTCTTCCCCACACCCTTCAGCACTGGAGAAGCTCAGGGATGCAGTGGAGAGGAAAGGCCTACTAAACTAATAAAAACCTTTACGAAGGGACTTCAGATTCCAAGGGCCAACGTGATCTAAAGATGAAGCATTCCTTAGGGAAGGTCTTCAGCTTGTTAATACATCCTGTAATGTACATTAGGTCGATGCAAGAAACTAGTTTATGCACTAAATAAATTATAGGAGATGTTATTAGAGTACATTAGACAGGGTTACATTAACATACATCCTTCCTGTTTGTTTGAGGATGTAATGCTTACCACCATGTGCTGTGACTTCCATGACATGAAATCGAGGTTTCTCTCTCCATTTATTTACTGCTGCATACGTAAAACAGACCATAGCTCACACTTTATTTCCATCCCGCCTCCAGAGGATGTCAATATCTTGGCGGTGGTGGCAGCGGTGGTGGTGGTCTTCCTGGTGGTGGTGGCCTGCAGCTGTGGTGGACTCTTCTTGCATCGCAATGGCTTCTTCAGCCGTGAGTTTGTGTAGTTTAAATGTTATCTGCGCTTTAAAAAAAAATCTAACAACCAATTATTTTTGTATTTATTTTCAAAACAACTGACATTCACTGTGTTTCCTCTCCCATGCTTATCCCTGATCCGTGGGCAGGACACAGAGGAAGGTAAGAGCTCTGTGATTGCATTAACATTGATGTGAACAAACACAGGCTAATACCCACACACTTAAGACTGAGGGGGGGGGGTTGTTGTTGCACTTAGAGACTGCGTGTCTGTGCTGACTCAGGACTGTATACAGTGACAGCTGTGGCTGTGTGTGTCTACATGTGTGTGTGTTTGAGCCACAGCAGTGCCTGTGTTCCTACTCCTCATGTGATTGGCGCCAGCAGATGTACAAACCATGGGGAAAAGATTGTTTTTTGAAATTGATTGCCTCTTCCTGGAAGAACTGCATCTGTTGAATTCATGTCAAAATGTAGCAAGACTGATGATCTAAACATGCAGACATTTAAAAAGGGAGGGGTGGGGAATAATGAGTGTAACACACTTCTGGAATAATTACCCTCCGTTAATCAGCAAGGAGGAAAATATTGGCAGAAAGAATAGCGAGCAACTAAACTGATTGGATGGGTAATTTGAAATTGATTATTTAGATATCGAGGAGATAGAAAAATGATGCTGTGGCGTGGCAGAGGGCTGTGAGTGCATTCACACACACAAGTGGGCGAAAGGCCGTTGTGATGCTTGACTGGTTTATAAGCCAGAGACCGCGGTGACATAAATGCATGTCTTCGTGTGACTGGCCTAATTCGCTTGACTTTATGTTATTTGATTACTGGCCTGTTACTGCGCAGCGTTTGATGGAGAGTCACTGTGGAGCTCATCTTGAAGCTGATGCGGAAGCTCTTTGTCTAGGTTAAAGTCTGATGCTTATCCCAGTGAGCTAACTGGAGCTGTCAGTGTCAACTTCCTATTTATAGACCGGGCTTCTTCACAAAGACTCAAAGACAATGTGACATGATATCTGATGTACCAGTGAACAAAATAGGAATGCAGATCTGGGATTGAGCCCTGCCTTGAAAGAAAAAACAGTAAAGCGGACCTGGTTATTTTAGATTTCACAATGAATTTGTTGTAACACAACATTGCACTACTTTAGTATGAAATACAATACAGTTAACTAAAACAATCCTTTTGTAAAATAAAGTGCCCTAATCTGCAATTTGTTAGGGTCCAATTTCATCCTCAGAGTCTGTACGTGCAGGCTCTGAGTGAACGTCCACGCTTTATCAATCAAGGCCCTTCCACAGGTGTAGTACAAACCTGAAATAGAGGAAGTAGAAAATAGTCAGAAAGCATTTAGTGTTGTGTATCAGGGTGTTGGATTGCTGCATGTGATTGGCTCACCACTTGACCTGCTCAGCTCTGCTGCATCCCGATTGGCTGCATGTCAGTACAGGTTTGTTGCCACAACCCTAGTTCTGTAAACATGTGCGTATCATTTCTGTCACTTAAATTGGTTATTTAGGGGTTGTCACGTGACATTGCGATAGACCCCGAATATACAGAAATGAAATGCACAACTCCTCACTAATAGAGTTATGGTGGCACACCTTACACATCAATGACTTTACTAATAAACCCCCCCTCCACTCCATTAAAGCATGGCGTGCAGTGTCACTCCAAAGTCATACCCTCCTTTTGTTAAAGCCAACACAATGATCCCTACAGGTCATTTTGGATCTCCCAGTGTCATGGTGCAGCCCACATCAGCAGCCAAACCCTGCACAGAACTGAGGACACGTGAGTGTGACCTTAAGGCCAACGGCAGATATGGAAGAAATTAAAAGCCATAATAATTCGAATTTGATACAAAACTGATAGCAATCATGATGTTTAACCATGAACACAAATGTAAATACGCTTGGGCTTTTGTCCTCTCCTGCAAACCACTATAGACTCCATGAAATAAACGCACCTGGCCAATGAATATTTTGGTACATAACCGTGTGTGAAACCACAAATTGTCAGTTTTCACGTTTGCTTTTCAACGGCAGATATCAAGTGTTATTTTGCTTTTCAATTGAAAGGTACAGTAGGTGAAATAACAGAGACAGTTTTCTGCATAATGCACCACAGCGCGATTAACCTTTATTATGACCATACAGATCGCTTGGGTTTTACGAGAAACACTATGACCTTCGTGAAAGTCATTCTAACTACAGGACTGTTTTACTGTATTTGATTATATTATGTTAGGCAAGTGAACCTTATACATTGGCAACTGAGTGTATATTGACTTTAAATCTGAGCTAAACTCCCCTTACACATTCCTCTCCCCTGCCTAATATATTCCTGCTCAGAGTCATACTTTCCTTTTTACCCACTGGGAAGTTTGCCATGTATGATGTGCATTATTTATGCAGAGCAAAATATGAGTCAGGATACAGCTGTCTGCCTGGAGAGTCTGTTCTTCTTTGTGACTGTGTCAAACTGTCCAATGTGCTTACCCACGTCTTTATCTTCCAGGTCCAATGTCAACTACATCCCTCCGCCCCAAGAAGTAAGAGGTTTTTATTTTGTGTTTACTCGTTTCCTCCCTTCCTCTTCCTCTCATGTTAGATTCAGAGCAGTGACATCAGCATAGTGCTGACCGAAGCAGGAGCTGTTGAGACTTCTCTAATGAATGTTGCTGTGTTGAAATCACAACCTCGGGAACCATAATTCTCAAACATGCCGTAGAAAACCGTTCGATACTAATACTTGATTTTCTGTGTGCCTCCAGGACTTCAAACACACCCAGTCCTTCATGCTCTGAGAAGCTGGCCTTCCTTTGAAAACACATCACCCTCGTGAAAAGGTGCCAAACACCGGATTCTCTGATGTATTAAGTCACTGGACTCTGAATGAGCTCGTTATCTTCCAACACATGCATTTCAATCTTCTTCTTCTACCACTCCTTTTTGGCGTGGCACGGACATTTGCAAGGCTTCTTTCTCTCTTGCTTTGCACTGTGTGGGTCCCCTCAGTCACTGGTGTTTCTGCTTTTATGAGATTAACTTCACTTTCATGACGTTGTGCTCCCCCCTGGTGGTCAGATGTTTAAATTCCACTTGATCTTTTCTAATTAATCCAGGAAAAAGGAGACATTTTCCAGATTGTGTTTCTTCCCTCTGCGGGCCAATCGTTTTAATAACTTGACTGACCGTTTCATTGAAGGGATTTTTATTTAAAAGATATAATCATCACAAAGGAGTTCTGCTTAAAAGCCATGGAGAAAGTTTTGTTTTCAATCTACTCAAACACAAATGCAGTTTACCTCAGCCAATGTTTTGTCTTCTGTAACACTGGGGCCCCCAGCTTCCCAAGGGCCACACAGGGTCTTCATGATCTAAGTTACAGCATGAAACCGGACAAAGCCAGTCCAGGAGAACAGGAAGTCTGTTATAGCCATTATATAGAGACCAACCTATTCCATCCTAATGTGCCTGCATGGTCTTTTTTTATATATATATACATATTATATATATATATATATACCTTGTGCCTTTTTATTTGTCATATTTATCTATGGATCACACTTTTTTGTAAAGAACTTGCCTTACTTTTTTCTGTCTTTATATTTTTGTGCCTGATCAATGTTTATCAAAACGGAGTGTGTGTTTTAGACAGTGTGTGAATGGATTGTTCAGAGTTTTATTTGAATATGTATCAGTAATAAAATGTTTTTCTATGCAATACCCTACATGCCGTTAATATGTGATCACAATTGCACAGTAGTAGAAAACACAGTACCATAACATTTTGTTTAGATAAGGGACTAACTTTTTAGAGTGGACTTCACCTCCTCCTGCTGCAGCAAGAGGAAGACGATGAGGAGGAGGAGGAGGAGGGACCATTTACCGGTTTGTACATCATCTCCCCTCTCTGGCAACACTGCAGCTATAAGCAGATGAACCTCTTCTGCGGTGAAAACTGACCGAACATGCAAACACAATTATTCTGGAGGAGACCAACATGTGACTGCCACTAATAGAAATCAGTTTGAATAAACCTAACATGTTAACGCTCATTACCTTTATTCTGGTAATCTTAATGTGTTAAAAAAATATATAAATATGAACATTACCTTGGTCGTCCCCAACTGCCTTTTGTTATTCCAGCTGGGATTTTTATGGGAATCACAGTGTGGGATTAAGTGCATTATGTAAAAACAATAGAACCACATGACCTTACAAAATAAGAAACCAAGAAGTTTAGTGTCAAAATGTGTCCTCTCAAGACTTTTATCTTCATTATTTTGAGTATATTATTAACTATTCACAATAAAGAAGAAGTGATCAACGAAAAATTCCAAATGTGGGCTTTCAGAAATATCTTGTTCTATGTGCAATTGCATTGCTGTCAACATGTCAATGTTAAAAGAAAAGAAAATACATAGTTTATGTTGTAAAAAATTAAACCTTGGAGCAATATTTGTATATATTTTCTGTACACACAAGTTCCTTTTAATCTACATTCATGTTTTACTTTACTTTACATTATAATCTATCTATTAAATAGAAATTAAATGTACAATATTTGTAAAATCTACAATATGTGCCTCTTTAATGAAGGGGAGTGGTACCATACATTAGAAATACATAAAAAAATACACACCCTGGGTATATTTACTCAGTTACTTTTCATCATGGATCAAGACCTGATGTTTACTGTAATCACAAATATTACTTTTTACAATGTTGTGATGGTTATCAACTCATATATTTTCGCATACTCTGGAGCATCATGCAGAGACTTGTATTGAGGGCTGATCCACAATCAGTAATTTAATTCATGTTTCTACAACTCATAGGATCCATACAAATAAATAAGAAAGTTCAAATATCTCTAATAAAGAATTTGTGAAAAAATCCAAATAAATGGTCTGCACTTCCTGTGTTCCACCACTAGGTGTCGCTGTGTCCCTTTAGTTTGTGTGCCAGAGACATTTGGTGCCCCAGAAGAACTCGGTGCAGATAATTGGATGGGCGGGTCTGTTTGGCTAAGGATAACAGGTAAGGTACACCGTTAATATTAGCAACATGCTAATAGCTAATTATCTGCAACATAATACATTCCCAATAAAACATGAACAACAAAACCCTCACTATCAGTTAATGAAGCACTAAAAGTTTATCCTATCATGTGAAACCAGCTTAGCTCGGTAAATATGCTAATTAATGTACACAAACATTACTTAAGACTCGATGCAAGACTCCATTATAAATCCTGAACATTAAGTGTTTTCATAATGACAAAAGCAAGCTACTCACCTCTTGTTGGATATTTGTAATCAACACAGTCAGGCTGACAATTCGGCGTGTAAGCAGTTAACCAATTATAATTCAACAATAAAGAAATGTGAGTACTAAACTCCATACAGATGCATAGTTGATACTTGACCAGCTAAATATAGCTGTTTTTATTCGGAATGAGGTTGAATAACATTGCGACTTAAGTAATAGTGTGTTTCTAGCGTTCATAAAAAGTCATTGTGTAAGCTGGGAGAAGGTCATAAATTAATTATTTTATCTTTAAACGACTTCCAATGAAGCCCAGAACATCCAGGTTTTAATGAGCCTGTTCGTTATGAACAACAGTGTTTGGGGTTCAAATATCAAACTTGAATGCTAATCATGCTCAATTTATACTAAACCACTTGCATTCAGGTACATGTGTCAACCATTGTATCTGCATTCATAATACAAATACTGTATTTTGGAATTGCATGTGTTTTGTGCTTTGAAACCTTTGTATGAAGATTCAAAGTTTGTGCTAGAGACACATATTTGTCTTTGTGAAATTGAAAGTGAGTTGAGTGCTGTACATACAGAAACTCCCAGTATCTAATGACTCTAGTGACATCCCCTAGGCCACTTCTGTGTTACTTGGCCGCAGAAGTGTCACATTGTGTTGCGTGTGGAAGTAGTCTAAGTCTTTATTTAGCTTGGCATATCACCGCGTCACAAGATCTCTGTCCATATGACCCAGGGTGCGCTGCTCTATTGTCAAACAAGTGAAAGGAGCCACTGTCAACAGAGCTGGTAATTGAAAGTGGAATTAGATAAAGTTGCTATGTTGTAGAAGCCATCAGATGTGTGTGAGAGAGTCTGCTTTTGAATTGACTGAAACCAGCCATTACTACTATAGATATGATCCGTTAAAACAAAAATGCTAACAGTATCGCTTTTCATCACTGGAAGCCTTGATCCACTACTTGCTAGATTCATTCATGGGAGAGGGGATGTCGGTCCCAGACGATTTGGAGCAGACGATGGAGGTGCTGTCAACAATCAGTGGTGAGCATATCATAGTCTATCTACTCAAATGTGCTTCAATGTGAATCAATGAAAGATATTATGCCGTGTTTTTGCATGTTGGACATTTGGCAAATGGGTATCTGACCCCAGGTGTCTTTGAGGATGTTTAGTTGAGTTTATTTGTTTATAGTGTCGTGGACAGTCCCAATTAATCAACTGTCACAAAAAACATTAGCTTTAGCTAACATTGCTAATTTCCAGCTGTTGTCCAGATGATAAGACACCTTTAAAATCACAATACATCATCAGCATTAGCTATTACAAAATGTTTCACCAGACAAGTAGTACTTTAACCCAGTTTGAAAATATGTAAGAGTGTACTTATTAATCTATGGTTAGGGATTCAAAAAAATGATATTTTAGTGTCTTTTAATGAATATAATCATATATCTTGAGGTTTTGATACGCAATTATGCTGTTCAAATTGATAATATTGAGCAAAAGCTTAAGCAATGCCATTTAAATAATGCATTTTACAAACTGAGAGATTATCGAACCACAAATATCAACATTTATAGCATTCAGCTTTAATGCTCAAATCCTGCGTGCCTTGTCTTAATCTTATTTGTCTATATTTGTCTGCATGAATACGAGGAAAGTCATTGTGTTGGAATATTTCTTCAGGAACACACATAGAGGGAATTTCTCCAGATTTGGAACAAGCGTCCACTTAAGGGTGAATTTATTAGATTATAGTGGACAAAGGTCAAATATCACTGTGACCCCAAAACACAATGATACCAGGAAAAAAACATTATGAGAAATGTAGTTAATGAAATATGAAATAATTGAGTAAGACAGTTTGGCAGAACATCTTTAAATGACCGATAAACATACAAAATCACATGATGGTCTGAGGCAGAAAACTAGGTTTCCAAGACATGAGAAATATTTCGGAAAACTTAATTTAGCGCATCATGCAGCATTCATTTTAATTAACGTTTCTTATCCCTGAATCAGTCTTGAAATGGCTATAAATCTTGATCTAAGTTAGGTTTCAAGTTGGGTTTTGTGCACTTTTTTTATACAAAATAAATGTTAACAAACAAAAACAGATTTAAACAAACTGTTAAATGTAAGACAAAAACAAATCCCTTCTTCATCTGTTCAAATTAATACTTCATCGTATATCGGGAAATTAAAAAAAGGCAGATAATATTAAGTCGGATTGATCAGTTTTTGATTTTGTCAGGATTTTCCATTTATTGCCGTTATTGGAAAGACAGAAATGGAGTAGCTGTATGGATTGATTTTAATAGTATTAGATGATATAACCAGTATTAGCTCTTTAATAGAACAACAGTGCAGTTTGAGAATAGCCAGAATGATTGAGTTAGCTGGCAGTGTGATTAGTTTTGAAGGAGGGCAAAGTTTTTGATCTCTGCGATTCTGCCTCTTCGTCATGATTGACTAATCAATCGAATGAATGCCACATAATGAGAAGTGCATGACCATCTTCGCTCGCCACCGTTTGAAGTTCAAATCAGGAATGCTTTCTGCGATTGTGTGCTGGTGAAATAAAGATAATGTGATATACGGATGGCACCAGTTTTTCTGTTCTCACCATTGATGCCTTCAAAAATCTGAAACCTTATGATGCCGCTGTCAGAAGCTCCTATTGTCCGAGGTGCTGCATAGTACACGAGTCGTAAACAGGACTATTATGTCATCGTCAATATTTTGTTGACATTGACAACCCTTGGCATAATATCTTATCGAGTTAAAGAAAAATGAAAAAGCAGGAAGAAGGTGTTTTTTGTTGAAACGCCTGATCATTTTGGAGGCTGTGGAATTGTATTGCATTAAATCATGCTGATATAAATAAAGTGGATACAATCTTATAAACTAACTTAGTCTAATTCAGGAGCTTTTTGTCAAACTGGCAATAGACTCTGGCCGTTTCTCAATCGCGAGGATACTGGCTTAGTCGCATACTTCCAAGTCACTTCCTTCAGAAACGAAGCAAGTATACTTCCAAGCCACGGCTTCGGAAAACAAAGAAGAATGGAACAGGCTAACAAGTGTGCCACTCTCTCTAATGGTTTCAACATAAACTGTACCGAAAATAAATACCTCACGATGTCTATCTAATTATGAACTTGCTTTACTTTCACGGAACACATTTTTGGTGATAACTATGATGCAACAGAGTAACATATTTACCAACACATGTTCTACACTACACTACATACTTACATTTAAATGTGTGCTGCGCCGGTTCAGCCATTCTCCGCAAGGGTTTTTGAAATTGGTCCGTGCACAAAGCATTGTGGGGATTTGAAGGACGTGAAGTCTACCCATGTGCAGCCTCGAAATTACCCCCAAACCAAGGACGTGGCCTCGGTGGAATTCCAAGTATGCTGGAGATTGGAACAGTCCTTCGGCGGCACTCANTATTTTGTTTTGATCCAATGCTGCACAACTGAACTGATCCAATGCTGCTGTTATTTAAATTGGATATTCTATCCAACATGGATATAGCTTCTTTCTTTCACAGCAGCATTGGATCAGTTCAGTTGTGCAGCATTGGATCAAAACAAAATAAAGCTTTCAGTACTCGTTAGCTTACTGCTACAATTAGACACTGCGCCCACTCTGTTGCCAGATTTGAGAGAAATAAGCAACCAGGTCTATGAAAACAAGCCCCAAAGAAGCAACACATACATGATGTTCTGTCATTTGAAACCAAAATTAAGGCCTCAGGATGACTTTAAGACTTGAACATGGTCATTTTTGTTTTGTAACATTGAATACAACATTTAAAAAAAAGTATTTATAAAAAAAATCAAAAAAAAAAATCCCGATCCCCGATTTTTTTTCTCCCGATTCCGATCTTTTGAAAATCACGTGATCGGCTCAGATCCCCGATCACGTGATCGGATCATCTCTAATCCCAACACATCAATTTATATTCTTTGATGCTACTGATTTGTTTTTATCTTTCAAAAAGACTGCAAGTATTGTCATGCTCTTTTAAAAAGGTGTCTCATTGGAAAGTGGTAAACCATTGTAGATTGTGATACAGAGCTTAGAGCGTCTATACACACACACACAGATTGTTGTGTTGGCTGAGAGAAAGGCTAGCTGTGGCAAACATCTCCAGGAGTGTTGTGTTTAATGTGACAAAATGCCTGGAATCCTGGGAAAAAAAACAAAGCGCCTCAAGACTCCGATCCCCAGGCTCGCTCACACTTTCTCACACTTGACTCAAACACACTCTGAGGATCGAGAGCCACCTGCTTGATAAGTGATAGACGCAACAGCTGCCTTCGGCTAACACACACACACTCCGCTGTTGTTGTTGAGCAAACAGGCATACAGTAACCGACATCCACACGTTTCAACTTTCACTCTGACTCCGCATCAGCTGAACAACTGAAGCACCTTTCCACCCCCACCCCCCCAGTGTTACAGTCTTTGTCAACACACACACAACGCTTTGTACCAGAAACTGCACTTTGAACATTTTAAATATATTATTAACATTTTAAATTGTATACCCCGGCCTAGCCCTTTTTATTTTGTTTTATGTATATATGTCACACTGTGGGACTGCGGGAAACGGTATCTCGAGATTTCTGGATGAATAACACATGTAGTAATTTTGACAATGAAGCTGACTTTGACTTTGAAAGGGGTCATGGGAAATTATTTAAATTACATTTTTGAGCAATTTAAGTAAGAATGAGAAAAGCGGGAGTGATTTGTTATATTATTTTACACATTTATTCAACAAATAATACAATGGGATACATGTGAAAGTGTGTATGTCTATGTGTGTGTGTGTGTGTGTGTGTGTGTGTGTGTGTGTGTGTGTGTGTGTGTGTGTGGGGTTATGCAGAGGTTGTTGCTGGCTGCTCGGAGGCGGGTGGAGTCACTTCTTCAGGTTTCGGCATCTCAACCTGCGCAAATAAATCCACATATTTATGATTATTATATATTCTTACGTCTCCTCTGTAACCTATTGGGTAACTAAAACTAGAAATGGCCTTAAATATAATGTCTAAATGATCCTTCTACAGATTTGTTATGGGGTTGTTGTTATGCTGGAGGCGGGGTTTGGAGCGTGGGCGTCCTTGTTTCGAGCGCCAGCTGGAGGCAGACGGGGGACATGCTTCCCCACCGCCTGCAGCCGGCTCAGAAAACACGACACCCACACATCTCTGCTTTTATAACCCTGTTTCTGTATGGCAGCACACACAGAAGGTGGACAAAATAACAGCAACACTTTACAACATTACAACACTGCAGTAGACTATTTAGATATTGAGCGATATCTCTTTAAAAAAGTTCTGATCTTTTACACTTTTTTTGACTAAATTTGTCTCAACCCATGTTAACCTTTGACCTTCTATGCTTGCCATACTTCACAGTCTGTGAGGCAGCATTTGGAAAGGACTTGAAAGGAGTTGTTGTGTGAAGTGTAAATATGCTGTACATATTGTACTTTCACTGCAGTCTGCTACATTAAAGAACACACTTGAATGTGGTGTTTAAATACCTGATAAGAAGACAGTTTGTCCTTTTTGTTTGTTCATAGTTTATCTTACAAATTACTCCAAGAAGTGTGCACGGGGCAAAAATGCACTTTGTCCAAGCTGAAACTCTTCTTCTTTCTAACAAACTCAGGGGCTGCTGGTTTTAAAAATGAAGAAGTACACGTGAGTTAGGGCTGCTCAATTAATCGTATTTTAATCGCAATTACGATTTTGGCTTGCAACGATTATGAAAACATTATCGAAATAAAACGATTATTTATTTTATTATTGGCTTTTCAGTTGAATTATACTTAAAGTTCAGGGTAATCAACTGTTAAAAAAATACTGTTCACATTTTTCTTTTCAATAAATGTATGTTTTCAAAGTAAATGGATAATTGTTTTTTTAATAAATGTATGTTTTCAAAGTAAATGGATAATTGTTTTTAATAAATGTATGTTTTCAAAGTAAATGGATAATCGTTTTTAATAATCGTGATATCAATTATTGACCCAAATAATCGAGATTATGATTTTTGCCATAATCGAGCAGCCCTGACGTGAGTCTTTCTCAAGCGACCAGAGTAGTACCCAAGTTGTACTGAATTACACTCAGATGTCTACAAATCTTTTTTCAGATTGTGTTTTGAGCGCAATCCTTGTAGCTGCTTGTTAGTGTAGCTCCACATCTCCCGCACAGTTTGTCCACATGAATAAAATATATGTTATCTGCATGACAACACAAACTAGCCTCTTGTTGTTCATGGGAGGAACGGAAACATCCACCGAATGATCTCTGAGTTGATGAAGAGAAGGATATCATGTGCATTAGCTGTGGTTCGCATACAAATATGGAACTAACTGCAGGATGAATGTGCTTCAGGGGGTTATAGGCAGCTCCTCCACTGATTGGTGATTAACACATGGGACATAGAGGACAGGCCAACACGCTGCCTTTACTCAGACACAGCTAACATTAATGTGTCAGGAGATGCTATGGACCAGTGTCCTCTAAGAGCATGAAGTGCTGTCCTGCAGCAGGTCTGCATGCTAATCCTTTGCTTGTAAAAACTCCAGAAAGACCTTGATCCAAATATCCTTCGTCCACACTTTTGTCTAATAAAGTGCTATTTTTATCCGCCAGCGAACAAATCTCAGTGAAAATAAAAATGTAGGCCACAGAGCGCAGTAAGTCATCTCTCGCCAGATCTAGTGTGTCTATTAATGAGTACATCTTTTTTAGCATTACGCTGAAGCACAGAGAAAAATATATTTCGCCTAGATGGCTCCATCCAAAATTAACTCGCAGCCTAGTTTGAATTTGAAGAATTTAAGCTTTCTCTTTAAGAGCCGCTTGTTCTCAGACATCAATCTGAGCGTCACGATGTCTAGAATAAGAGCCTTGAACCTGGAGAGATTTAAAAATACTTCTTCCTTGGATCTTGTGTTATCTTCTGTGTCTTTGATGTCTCCTTCATGAGGAGGATGGGACCTGGAGCACACACTCATCTATTTCCTCTGTTTTTGCCAAAAATATAAAGTGCTAAGTAATAAAAGATATTCGTGTTATATCCCAACCTCTACTCACACTGCTGTTGGACGCCTGTCTGAGGTATTAGAATAAATAAATAAGAGAGGTGTTTGTTGTTCCTACCAGTCTCCCTGCCCGCTGCTTCAGTTTCCTCCACACCGTGTGATGAGCCTGCAGAGAGGAAGACAACGTGACTGACAGGCACATGTACAGTGCTTTTAATGCACCGTACAAAAGGACACGCTTTAATATTGGAATAACAATCAAATGTCATGAATATTCTGCTGCATGGCAACAGCATTTGCATTTCTAATCTTGAGGGAAACCACTGCAGACTGAGAAGGAATCACTGCTTGATACATCTGTGATTAAAACCTGGATTGCCTCGAGCGAAGGTGCCAATAGATGACCATTTCAACTGATTTACACCTTTTAAAAAGGGCTGTACTGAATACTTTGAAGCTTTCATTGGCATTCAGACTCTAAATCAACATCTTAATGCTGTGCAGCTTTTCTGTCTGCATGTATCCTTCCTGTTTAAGCCTGCTGTTTCTGCACAGTTGCAGATACTCATATTATTAGTATTGAACTATTTTTAACTTGGAAAAAAACTGTTTACTTTCCCACTTACCCGGCTTTGCTTACACTGCAATCTAGCGGGAATAAGAACCATCTATTATAACAAAATGTTCTCACTCCATTTATTTAGGATAAAATAGTGGTCAACACTTCTGGTCTACTGGGAAGGTCAATCTTTTTAAATGCAACAAAATGTCAAACGTTAAGTTTTTTTACACAGGAACTTAAAGCCTGATACAGTGTCTCCTTTTAGTGTGCTTTCCATCACCATATCAGAAACACATCCTACCTCCATCTGCAGAGGCAGGGAGAGGCCCTGTGCTCGGCGCTGGAGGCCCCAGGGACCCTCCCCCAGGCTGTGGAGGGCCGTCACATCGTACTGGGAGCAGAGGCCCGTCCTGCCCACCAGGGGGCCCGCACTCAGCAGCACATGGTCACCACATCTGCGCACAGAGAGGAAGGTACATGATTCATCAGTTCTCCGTCACACAAAGAAGTTACGAAGTAAAAAAGGAAACTAAGAACAATCGTGGAAATGAAACAAAAGTGCAAGTCACCTGTGGAGCATCACGGTGCCAGTGGGACTTTGTGATGCCTTCTGCTTCACCTCTTCTTGTTTACACCTGGATGACAAAAAGAAAACATGATCAGCTTGTGTCCAGGATTATTATGTGGAGGGGGGCGATGCAGAGAGGGAGACAAGGACAGCAAAAGAAGGACACAGAGGTGTATAAAGCTAGGAAAGGTACAGAGACAGCTGGAAACCGTATCAGTGTTAGACAGTTCTGTTGCTTATGGAGCGCACCTGCTGTGTGAGAAGACCTCCAGAGCCACAGAGGGCACCACGACCAGAGGCTCCCAGGCCAGGTCCTGGTGGATCAGCTGCTGGGCCCCTCGGGTGAGAGACCGCAGCGACTCCTGGAGAGATAAGATACCGCCATGTTGGTTTATAAAACTCTAAGGATCTGTTAGTCCAAGGTAAAAAACAACAACAACAAAATCTGAACTATTCCATCTCTACAACTGCTGGTGACCAGTTAAGTCTTCACTTCAAAGATTATATAAAAATTCACGCTCTGGACTCTCTTCCTCGCACCAAACACACATTTAAATAAATATGAATATGCATGTGTGGTAGCGTAAACACCCGAGTATAGAGACTCATTTTGCGAAATATGGCTAAAGACAGCATTCGTTTACAGGAGGGTGTCAGCGCAACATTAGAGCAACGTCTCATTGATATTGTTTCAATAGACGAGTATTTGATATTCAAAAGATGGAAGATCTTAAAGGAACTGAACATGAGCTGAAGACCTGATGTCAATGGTTAATGGTAAACAGAAACGATGGCTTTCAGCTCAGAATCAAGCTTTTCTATCAGACATGACTGTTTTATTTTAATTTACAGATATCCTGCTAGGAAATGTAATTGTTGTCAACTAAAGAAAAACGTTAGCTTAGAAAGAAGACACAGACGGGAAATGACTGCAGAGGCTTATTTGTACTTTAGACCACATACGCACCTCAGAGGGAGTCCACGAGTCGAGCTGAGGGTCGAGCACCACGTCACAGCAGAAAGCCCCGGCAGTGGCTACAGCAATGGAAACAGAAACCAATAAACACAAAGCACCTCTCACCAGAGTCAACGTGTATCTTTCAATAACGTTATGAAAAAAAGGCCCGCCAGGAATTATGCCAAAAATAATTGTACTTAGACATAACAAGTCTAGCAGAACGGGCAAAGACAGACGCTGCATCTAACCTTCAACTCTGTCTCTAAAGTTCCTGGCAGAGTTGTTTTTCTTTCTACAGGTCTCTGAGGTTTGGTTAGGGTAAATAAGGAGAAACAAAGAGGATCTCTTTACCCTCAACATCCATGGTGCTGAGCAGCTCCACAGTGAAGTCCTCTTTGAAGGCAGTCTCCAGAACCTGACCCAGCAGGGCGGAGCAGGAGCGCCAGTAGGCCTGAAATGAGAGGAAACCACGAACATCTCAAACACTTTTCATCATATCCCTTATAGAACATTCTTATGCCATTAATAGCTGAAAGAAACCAATTAAGGAAGCTTCGAGACATCCAAATTGTTAGTGTGTACAGTATATGCGTTGGTCTTTTGTGATGGATGTGGATTTACAGTGCAGATAGCGGCTTTAACACCTTCAGTTGGATTCATATACATTTCAATAGAGAGATAACGGTAAATATTGACCCACTTTAGCATCACCTGTGGACAAGTGAGTATGAATATAGACTTGAAAAGATGTGAGTAAACATATCATTTAAAGGTGACCTATCATGCAAAATGCACTTCTGTACGTCTTTTATACATGAATATGTGTCCCCGGTGTTCCAGGGAACTCACCAAGTGTCAGAAAACACAACCCTCTCTATTTTCCTCCATACCCAAATCTCTTAAAAAGGGGCTGCAACGGATCTGATACAGACTGATCCAGATTTGAACACTTCTATGACGTCACAGAAGTGGCGCTACGGCTATTGGGCCAACTCCACCAATCAGGAGGAGACAGCCACGGACATTGCCGTTGGAAAGCGCTGGAGACGCTGTAGTACATATGCCAGGCCTGTAGATGGTGCTGTTCTCACAGAATCAGCCCATGCAAAGACAGTGTTCAATTGAGCGAAATGAAGAATGGCTAAAATGCATGATCTGTTTGGTATTTTGAAAAATAACAAGTATACATATGCCTTATATAGGTATGGTCCTACACTATATTATTCAAACATAGCATGATAGGTCCACTTTAAATAAAGCTTCCTGAATTGGGGGAAAAGTATTTCTTTATGGTGTGGTATTAGTGTGACTAAACTCAAGGTATCTTAAGGTTTAGAAGAACACAGTTGGGAACTCACCTTCAGTCATGTGACAGTCTATATACTGTATGTCCATCCTTCTCTTTTCACCTTTACAGCTTTTAGCCAGAGGATGTTCATGTGGGACTCAGAAACTGATTTTATACAAGTGTTTCCAAGTAAACTAAATTAAAAGACAGATAATATTGTATGGGTCTTAATCTGGGGCCAAGGCACTCTAGCAGAAGAAGACAAAATCAAGGTTATGGTAACCATCTGTTTATTAGTTTAAATCGATTTGAGCTATTGGAAAGCCATTCACATGCAGGTCAAAGGTCAATGGTTACCAGGTTGACGAAAAGACACATTGATTTAAAAAAAGGCCGTACGAAACAGAACAGCTTATCAGCAATAACATTAACTTTTGGAACAGGTGGCTTCATTCTTAGAGAAGGCTTTCGTACATCATCAGTTAATGCATGATCCATATCTTTAGAACAATTGCTGCCCTTTTACACTGATTAGTAAATGCTGTGTTATAAAAGTATATCAACACCACCGCTCAAAGCCTCGAAGCTGCGTGGCTGTGCCCCGATAGCCAGGGGCGGACTGGCCATTGGGAGTTTTCCCGGTGGGCCGGTACCGAAGTGACAATTCACTAGCACACCACACCCCCCCTCCCCCTCATTGACAATTGACTAGCGGTTCCGAGTTGTGCCGGTCGGCCGGTCGAGTTTCCCGGGCTGATTTTTAGTCCCAGTCCGCCCCTGCCGATAGCAATAGTACTTTGTAGGAATCAGATGTCTTTGGCGCTGTGGGTGAATTGGCCTAAGCTGACCCATGGTGTTATGGCAGACATTTTCAGACGGAAAGTCTATAAAAGAAGGACTCTTTAACCTGCCACCATCTGTCACTGCCTGGATCCGTGAAACATCCGACAGCTTGGCCCCATAAACACTCTGATGATGCTCTCTGTAATTAATGGTAGCAAAGCTTTAGTGACCAGTCACAAGAGACTCTGTGAACTGACGAGCGATGTGAAAACAGAGTAAAGGTTGAATACAGTGGAATACTCTTTTCACTTTGCTGCTGGTTGCCATAATTAAAGGCTATGTTTAGATCATGAGTCATGGCTGGGTCTACTTTTCTCGGTGGCACCCATAAGATTGTGACATTTATTTGTATTTAAACACACATGATAAATGTATGTTTGCGCTGGGAGCCGGATCCTTCCTCTATTGTTCTCCCCAAGGTTTCCTCCTTTTCTGTGGGGGTTCTTTGGGAGCTTCTTACTATACGTTGCATCACAACTTTAATTACAGATCAAAAGCTGTTCTGAACAGGTTCGTTTTGAATTGGGATTCAAACAAAGACAAATTGGTGCTGTCACAGATGTGTTTTGGGATATTAGCAGACATGCAGCAAGAACACATGAAGCATACTTTCTCATCTATATTCAATTTAGAAAAATAAATTGCTCATTCATTGAGTGATGTTGTTGTCGTTTTGCTCGAAAGAAATGTATAATTGTGTGTCATCAGCATAGATAGGAAAGTCAACATCCTGAAAATGACCTACAGTATAGTGGTAGCATATTTAATGAAAACAGAGGGGAAAAAGACAGGTTCCTTGTGCAACCCCTAGAGGATATGCCATATTTGAATCCAAGACCAAACTATGAGGTTTTGGGTATAATCTAATTATATTGCTTTAAGTGATGCCGATGTATTTGTATTAAAGGAGACATGTCATGGCCATTTCCACTGATCATAATTCCATTGTTGAGGTCTACTAGAATAGATTTATATTGTGCAATTTTCCAAACTCACATTAGTTTCCCATAAAGCATCTCTGTAAACTACGTGTATTCACTGAATTTCACTCTCTGCCTTTAACGGCTCGTTGTAGCTCCAGTAGCTCCAGCCCCCACCCTCCCTGTGAGCACAGTGTGCTCTGATTGGTCGGGACGTTGTGAATCGCGCTGAGCTCCGTGGAGGTGTGGTTTCCTTGTTTAGCGATACACAGCGAAACACAGCCAAACTCACCCTGAGCACACACAAAGTCACAGCCGAAGTAAAAACAATAAGTGTGGCTTGATATTGAGTAAGAGAAAGATTGATAAACGCTGTGAGAATGGGTCTGCAGAGAGAATTCAGTTTCGCCGCGATTCCAACTGTCTCTTATCAGCCTGCAGCCAGGGAGGAGAGATCAGCAGAGCTGCCTGCACTGAGTGTGTGTGTGAGGAAGTCCGTGGATTGGTCAATTTGGACCAATCAGCGGGGGTTTAACGTAA